ATGGGTGCCGTGTCCCAGCCCAGCCCTGCCCACCACAATCACATCTTAAACAAAAAGAAAGAAATACAAATGGCCAACAAACATAGCAAGAAATAATATCAATCATCCTTAGGGAAACACAAATCAACATTGACACAGACACCACATCTCACCCATCAAAACACAGGAAATGGGAGGGAGAGCTTTGCCAAGCTGACACCAGATCCTGGGAACCCAACCAGCATCTACCAGGTGGATGGCATGACCGAGCAGCTGGCATGAGGCGCAAAGCTAGGCTGTGACCCCAAGGTCTGCACCCCAATCCACACCTCAGGCCGTCTGCCAGAAACACACTCCCAAAGGCATCCTGCAGTATTCTTATTTCCACCAGCGTTTGGGGTCCCCGCATCTGAGCCCCATCCCCGTAAGATGCCCACAATGATTCACTCCATGAAGACAGAGAGCACTTGGGGAGTGAGGATGGCAGCTAGTGTTCCATGGGTACACAGGTCCAGTGGGACGGTAAGAACATTCTGGAGACAGGTTGCACAGCATATCTTGTTACAGAACTACACTCTTTCATGCACAGATTTACTTCATCCATTTGAAAAGCAGAGTTACGAAGGGAGAGATGGAGATCTGCCGCCCAGAGGCTGGTCGGAAGGCACCTGGGCCATCCTTCACTGCTTTCCCAGGAGCTGGATCAGAAGAGGAGTGGCTGGGACTGGAACCAGCACCCACAAGAGATGTCAGGGTTGCAGACGGCAGCTCTGCTGGCTGTGCCACAGGGCCAGGTCTTTGTTGTGCATATTTTAGCAAACAAACAAAGAAACAAACAAAAAAAGCTTTTAAGTGCTTGAGGACCCTATCTGGAGTGACAAAAATGTATTGACGCCATTGTAGTAGAGTCCCAAGTGTAGACATAGGTAGAAAAAAACCCTATGGAGCCTCATGTTCACCACTGGTGGGTTTCCTTCAGGGAGATCTCAATAAGGTTCTGGGGCGGCAGCGCAAAGAAAGAAGCACCCGATAGGGATGGTAAGGTGGATGCACCTGACCATGTCCACCCTTGAAAAAGAAGCTGGCCACAAAAGGCCACATGCTATGTGACTCACTGTGCAAGAAGCATCCAGGACAGGCCAACCTGCAGTGCCAGAGGGAAGGTTCACCTCCATCCTTGCTTCTAGCTGGGCCTTGGGGAGCTGAGAAGGGTTGTTCATGTGCATGGACTCCTTGATAATGGAGACGTGCTAAAATTAGGCTGTGGTGATGCTGGCACAGCTGCATGTGGACCCCAAAAACCCCCAATCCATGCACTTTAGACAGGCTGACACTCTTGGCATGTGAATGATGCCTCGTGATGTTGCGCAGAAGTCGCGTCCCTGCAGCATGGCCAAAGAGGGGACCACATGATGCCCTTGCAATCTTCCTTTTTGCCATCTCAGCCACCACTACTGCATTTTTCACCTACTGTGGCCTTGTCTGAAGTTTGTACTGCTCTGGAATTTCCCCACAAATTCTCCCTGGAAGGTGCCCTGTCTTCCTCATATGATGTTTGTTGATACCCAGGAAGGCCCAGGACCCAACACAATTGGCTCAACTAGCTAATCCTCCCCTTGCAAAGCACTGAGATCCCCAATAGATTCTGGTTGGTGCTCTGGCTGCTCCACTTCCTGTCCAGCTCCCTGCTTGTGGCCTGGGAAAGCAGTGAAAGATGACCCAAGTCTTTGTGTCACTGCATCCATGTGGGAGATGCAGAAAACGCTCCTGGCTTCAGATTGACTGAGCTCCGGCAGCTATAGCCATTTGGGGAGTGAACCAGTTGGTGGAAAATCTTCCCTTTTCTGTTTCTCCTCTCTGTAAATCTGCCTTTCTAATAAAAAGAAATAAATCTAAAAAAAAAAAAAAAAGATGATTAAGTGCCTTTCCAGTGAGTAGCTGTTTTCCATCTGAAAACCAGAGTCTTTGGTTCATATATTAATGAGGAATTTGTTGAACATCTAATATGTTCTGAATTTGGAGCACAGACAGGCCATGGGGAGATAAGTGCTAGAGACTGAGCATAATCCTGTTCCCTAACCCCTCCCAGTTCGTTTCCTCCCTGTGCCAATAAGCATCACTACAGAATGTCAGCAAAGCTGACTCTTGGATCCTGCACAGAATGCTTTTATTAAAGATTTACTTATTTGTGGGTCTGGCGGCCTAGCAGCTAAAGTCCTCGCCTTGAACGCGCCGGGATCCCATATGGGTGCCGGTTCTAATCCTGGCAGCTCCACTGCCCATCAGCAGCTCCTGGCTGCTCCCTGCTTGTGGCCTGGGAAAGCAGTCGAAAAAATAACCTGAAATGCACGCTTGCCTCAAGAGTTAGGACAAGCTGGGGTCATGTGAGTTAGACTCCCCTGCCCTGCCTTTGGCTATAAACCAAGAACGACTGGCAACTGCTAAAGAGTGGACAAAGTAAATTTGAAAATGAAAGTGAGTGGGTTCGCTTTTTTATAAAATGGAACTGCCAATCATTGGGGTCTGTTGTCTGTAAGTACGCAAACGTGTACTGACCAGAAGCTAGAGGGGCAGGGGAGTCCCCTCTGGTCCACGAAGCATGCAAGTGCGAGAGTCCTATAACTCCTGTGGCCTCCTTCATGTCCTTGAGCCGTTCAGTGAGCACGGCTGTCATCTGCTCTCTGCTGTACTTCCGGGTCTCTTGCACTTTAATGGTACAGGGAAACAGCAAGCATTTTAGACACGCCAGGCTGGGGCAACAGCCATCAACCCTGGGTTAATGATTTCACCCCTGGCAGTTCAACAGTCATAGAGCAGGATCCGCTTGTGGCAAGGGTGGTTGTCTGAGGCATCTGTTTTGAACCTGTGCTTAACATAGGAACTTTTTTCCCCAAACTTTCCTAATTTTTTCAGGGTGGGAATGGGGTGGAAGAAACCTTAAAGGTGATCATAGTGAGGGGAGTTTGGTGCCCTCCCTTCCAAATCCACCAGGGCTCTCTCCAGCACTGAGAAGCTGGGCCACCCTGCCTTACAGGTGGCACGCAATGCCTGCCCTGCCCTTCTCGTCCTCTGAGACTTCCGTAGCAGTGATCTGACCTTGCTGCCCTCCATTGGTTGGTCAAATGTTGCCTTGTGAACGATTAACTACGCAGAGCCAGCGGTGGTAAGCGCTGCCTTCAGACAGCCCTCCCAACACCTCCAGGAGGTGTGGGTGTGTGGTTCAGCTGTGTAAGCACCCCTTGGGCCTGTGTGTATCCCCCAACAGAGATCCTGGGTTCCAACCCAGCCCTTGCTCACGTGGGAGCTAGCAGGTGAAGGTCAAGTATTTGTGTCCCCTGCTACCCAAGGGGCAATGTAGACAGAGTTCCAGGCTCTTGGCTTCCATGTAGGCTAGCCCAGGCTAGTGTGGGCATTCGGAGGGTGAGACAGTGGAGAGAACGTTCTGTCTCTAATGAAATGTAAGTAAATAGCGCCATGCCTTCTTTGCCTGTGATTTACAGAAGAGAGGGACTACACTGGGCCTAGCAGCTAGGCTGGCTTCAACCTCTGCTCCAGCTTCCTGTCACTGTAGATCTGGAGGGCAGCAGCTCACATCACCGGGAGCAAGACGGCCTCTCAGGCTCCTGGCCTTGGCCCTGGCCAGACGCTGCAGGCCAACGGGCACTCACCCACACAAAGGCTCCCTTTTCTCTCTTATCTGTCAGCAGCCACCTTGGGTGCGGAGACACCTGTCCAATGGGGACTCACAGGTGTCACCTCACCCTCACCCTGCCCCCTCAGCTAACCTAAGAAATTCAGGAGGTTCTTCCCGTCATGGAGAATGGCATTAAATGAAATTTATGCTGGTGAAAACATTTCTGAAATCCAATAAAAACTATTAGGGGTCATCAGAAAGTTTTTTTTTTTTTGTGGAAAAAAATAAGTGTATTTATGAGAAAAAGAACGTGCAGAGCTGTGCAAGATCTTCAGCACCCAAACGTGTTACTCCTCATTTCCCGCCAGTTACCTGCCTAAAATGAGATAACATGATCCTGGCAGTTAGACTGCTCAGAAATCCCACCCGGGCAAGGGACTAAGTACAGGGAGTTGGAAAATCCTTCAGGAAACCTTCCCCCACCGCTTGAAAAAATGGAATCGTATCCCTGGATCGCAGGGCAACAGAATCCAGCCCTAACCTAGCCGATCTGCGGGCAAGGCGGGAACGGAATGGGATCTGCCCGTTCTCCAAGCGATCCCGGAGTCACACGCACCCTCCTCTCGCGGCTTCCCGACTCTGGCTGCTTCAAGTACCTTTGAGGATTTAAACAGATTTCCAGAGGCTGAAATGGGGCCGGGGAAGCCGCCAGCAGCGTAGTCGGAGTCTCCAAGCCCCCTGTGCTTCTCGTGAGGAAAGTGAACTTCCTACACGGGGAGATTAGGACAACTGGGAACACAAACCCTATTCCCGCACGCCGCCACTAGAACATAAACCGACTCTCAGCGGCTCAGCGGCTCGCGCGCGACCAGCGGCTGATTCGCGATCTTCCCATTGCCCAACGAAACAGTTATTCTTGAGTAAAAATTAGAAGTTCTCATAAAAAGTTCATTTTTATTCGGAAAAACTACCTCCTCGACGCTCAGCCCGCAACGAAATTTTCCGAATTTAAAAACAAAAGAAGACCAGCCTTGGTGGCGAATCTGCTGCTTCCAATGTAAAAGTGCGGTCGAGGGCGGCTCGTGGAATCTTCCAGCGCGTGGAGCTCGGCGCTTGACTCTGTGGGGGAAGGGAACCGCAGCTTCGCCGAGGTGAGTGAGAGCCGCGCCGAGGGGACCCACGCCGGCGAGAAGGGAGGGCTCCGGCGGGGCGCTGCCGCTGCGGCCGGGACGCGGTGAGGGCTGCCTCGGGGCCGCCATGTTGGGGCCTGGCAAAGGGGAGCTCCCGGTGGGGTTGCGTTGCGAGCAGCGGAAGTGAGAGCTGCGTCGGGAGGATGGCCCCTTCCTCCCGGCGCCCACCTAGAAGGTGAGGGGCCGGCGGTCAGCGCGGATGCTGGAATAAGGCTGCCGGGGCCTTCTCCCGAGACTTCCGCCCTGCTTCCGTGGCTGCACTGCGCATGCCCGCAACGCTGGTTTGGGGGTTCGCCTGCTGTGTCGCCTTGTCTTCAACCCTGGTGAGCAGCGCCAGAAGGGATCGCAGAGACGTTTAAGAACCCGAAAGTTGGATTTGTACTGTACTCGTTTATAAGTTGTATGCTTCATGCTGTCCAACCTTGCCCCAGAAACCCAGTGAGGTGACACTTCGGTTTTGTAGGTAAGAGTTTTTCTCGAGGTAGAAGGACCCCGTGCCTGACCCCCAGTGACACCCACGCGGGCTGCAGCCGCTTGGCTCCTGTGTACCTTGGGGTCGGCCTTGGGGGTCCCATGTGGCAATCACAGTGGTGCCCACACCCTGGCATTGTGGGGAGGAGGAGACGGGGCTCAGTAGTGGGATGGAAGTCCAGGACCAAGTCCTGTACCGCACGTGGTCACGATGGCCACCAAAGCAGAGCTGAGCGGGCCTCTCAGCGGGTGACCTTGCACCGCCTGGGCCAGGCAGTGGACAGTGTGCGGCAGGCCTGGAAGGGCAGGGCACCAGGACCACGTTAGTGGTGAAGGCCAGAGTCCGGGGCCACGGCTTTGGATTATGTCCTGTGGAGGTTTGGCTGGAAGCAGAGAAGCCCACAGGGCCCCTCCTAAGCATTCCTCTCCCCGGAGAACCTGTCAGCTAAAGCGAAACAAGCTAAGGGAGATACCTAAGGGCCAGTCCCTGGAACGTGTTAGCAGTGACTTAATTCCCTTAGCTCTGTTTTAACATTGATTTACGAGGCCAGCACTGTAGCTCAACAGGCTAATCCTCCACCTCCAAGTGCTGCAATCTCATATGGACACTGGTTTGTGTCCCAGCTGCTCCACTTCCTTTCCAGCTCCCTGCTTATGGCCTGGGAGAGCAGCAGAGGGTGGCCCAGGACACTGGGACCCTGCACCCACATGGAGACACAGAATTAGTTCCTGGCCTCAGATGGGCTCAGCTCTGGCTGTTGCTGCCATTTGGGGTCTGAAGATGGATAGAAGATATCTCTCTCTTTTTCTATATAACTGTTCCTTTGTGTGGGTTTCTTATTTTTTAGATTTATTCATTTTTATCAGAAAGGCAGATATACAGAGAGAAGGAGATAGAGAAAGATCCTCTATATGCAGCTCGCTCCCCAGGGGCCACAACAGCTAGAGTTGATCCGATCCAAGGCCAGGAGCCAGGAGCTTCTTCCAGGTCTCCCACACAGGTGCAGGGTCCCACGGCTTCGGGCCGTCTTTGACTGCTTTCCCAGGCCATAAGCAGGGAGCTGGATAGGAAGTGGGGCTGCCGAGATTAGAACCAGTACTCTTGTGGGATCCTGGCATGTGCAAGGTAAGAACTTCCAGCCACCAGGCTACCACCTTACAACTCCCTGTCTGGGCCTGGCGAGGTGGCCTAGTGGCTCTGGCTTTAGATGGGCTCAGCACCAGCCATTGCAGTTACTTGGGGAGTGAATAATTGGAAGATCTTCACTGTCTCTCCTCTCTGTACATCTGACTTTGTAATGAAAATAATATAAATCTTTGGGAAAAAAAAAAGCACTCCCTTTCTAATAAAAAAAAATTACTTATTTGAGAGAGCAAAACAGATCAAAGGAGAGAAAGTACTCCCACCTGCTGGTTGATTCCTCAAATGTCCATTGCCACTGGATTCAGACCAAGGTGATGCCAGGAGCCTGAGTTCCAATCCAGGCCTCCCTCCTAGGAGACAACCATTGGAGCCCTCACCCTGTCTCCAGGGGCCCCGTCAACAGCAGAGCTGGGCGTCCCCAGGGGCTTCCCGGCTGGTCCCAGCGCTCACCCCTCGAGCTCTGGGCTTGACTTTACAGTGGATTTGAAAGGCTGAGTGGTGGGCAGCTCTCCACGGGTAGTATGTTTGAAATGCTCAGTGCTCAGAACGTTTTGAAGTATCATTTTTCCAGGCAGGTATTTGGCTTAGTTTAGTTAAGAGATCCGTGTTCCCTGTCAGTTCAGTGCTGGGCTCTAGCTCCCACACCGGCTTCCTGCCCGGTACGGCTGAAGACTCACCTGAGCGGGGCACCTGGGTGCGTTGCCATTCCTGGTTTTTTAGGGGGCATTGCAGGCATTTTGGGAGTGAACCAGCAGAGTGGGCAGAATGCTCTGCGTCTCTCTGCCTCTCCAAAGAGAAAAGAAAGGAGAGAAAGCTGTTTGCCACAGCAGTTCCTGGGCTGGTTTTCCTAGGGTTATTTCAGTGTCGAAGCGGTCAAACCAGGTTTAGCCTCATGGAAGTGCCTTGGTACGTGTCCTCATGGGGCCAAGCCACACACGGCTTCTGGTGCAAACCGCTGGCCGCTCCCTCCCTCAGGGGAATGTTGGGGTGGCTCAGGACATCTCTGGAGCTGCCCCCTGACTTGCACGTACCCCTTCAGCCACCATGAGGTTTTCCCTCCTTCCCTGCCTCTGAAAAGGGGTGATGTCAAGCAGGTGCTGGCCAGAGCTGTAGGGATGGTGCTGTACAGGTCTGTTCTGAGTGCTGCGCACATGCTTGCTGCTGTCAGGCTGTGCGGAGGGTTCCGTGGGTGCTGCGCGCATGCTTGCTGCTGTCAGGCTGTGCCAGAGGGTTCCGTGGGTGCTGCGCGCATGCTTGCTGCTGTCAGGCCTTGGGGACCGTTCCTTGCGTGGCCCATGCTGAGTGCTACGCTCATATTTCCTGTTGTCATTCCTAGAACATGAATGACTGGGTGCCCATTGCCAAGGAGTACGACCCGCTCAAGGCTGGCAGCATCGATGGCACCGATGAGGACCCACACGATCGTGCCATCTGGAGGGCCATGTTGGCACGCTATGTCCCCAACAAAGGTGTCACGGGAGACCCCCTCCTCACCCTCTTTGTGGCAAGACTCAATCTGCAGACCAAAGAGGACAAGCTGAGGGAGGTCTTCTCCCGCTATGGGGACATCCGGAGGCTGCGACTGGTGAGGGACCTGGTGACCGGCTTCTCTAAGGGTTACGCCTTCATTGAGTACAAGGAGGAGCGCGCGCTGCTGCGAGCCTACCGCGACGCCGACGGCCTCGTCATCGACCAGCATGAGATTTTCGTGGACTACGAACTAGAGAGGACCCTCAAAGGGTGGATCCCCCGGCGCCTCGGTGGTGGTCTAGGGGGCAAGAAGGAGTCGGGGCAGCTGAGGTTTGGGGGGCGCGACCGGCCTTTCCGGAAACCTATCAACTTGCCAGTCGTTAAGAACGATCTGCACAGAGAGGGGAAAAGGGAACGGAGGGAGCGGTCCCGAGACCGGCACTGGGATTCGAGACCCAGGGACCGAGACCATGACAGGGGCCGGGAGAGGAGGTGGCAGGAGAGAGAGCCGGCCAGGGCATGGCCCGACAGTGACTGGGAACGGGAGAGGGATTTCAGGGAGGACAGGCCTAAGGGGAAGGACAGGAGGGAGAGAAGCAAGTAGAGCTGGGTGCCAGGCCGGGTGGCAGGCGCTGCAAAGCTGGCGTGTGTATGTAGCAGCAGAACGGGCCCGGCACGTGGGGTTTGGGTCCTGGGCTTTGGCCAGCGCTGTGGGCTTGCCGTCTTCATCACACAGTTCCAAGGACACGTTAACCGACAGAGCAGAGTGGAGGGAGAAAACGGCATTCCCGTTGGATTTGGAGGTTGAGAGCTTGTTTTCCCCGTGTTTGACATGATTGTGACCCGTAGTCCTTTGCACCCTAACCTGACCAGGATACATCGTGTCCTTTCCCAGGTCACATCCACAGCCCAAGAATTTGCTGAACTAAATCAAACCGGGATAGAAAGTGGATCTCAGAGTATCCAGGGACTTAGTGCCGGGAGCCAGTTGGAATGTCTGGGTCAGCACCAGCTCTGGTGGAAACGCTGACTGCTTCCTGATCCCATCTGGCAGTTACAGCTCAGAGCCATGTGGCAGCCTCCCAGACATGTGAAAACCTAAAGCTCAACCAAACAGGTGAAACGACAGTGGGGACCCAGGAGAGAGGCAGTCAGTGAGTGCCCATGGCCGCTCTCTGCTCTCCGGGCAGGCGCAATGCCCAGCGTCTGCCCAGAAAGGGCCCGGAGCTCTGTGGTTGACAAATGTCATCTTTGAGAGTTCAGGTTCTTGGGACTGAACGTGTCTCACGCAGAATAAATGGCTGAAGAGCAACACTCAGGTGTTATCGACATGGCTTTGTACAGTGTGAATCTCAGGTAGACACAGCCCACTGGGAGATGCCCTTGGACGTGCTCTAGCCAGTTCCAGGGCAGAATCTGACTATGGCCCATGTCTCAGAAGACACTTGTGTCCCACACGAAGGCGACGGCGGCCAGACAAGGCCGATTCTGAGCTGAACAGGAAGCATGTATGTGGGGTGCTGTGAGGAGAAAACACGGCCCCGCTGTGCTGTTTGTGGCATGCCTGTCCGCCCGGAGCACCAGAACGCAGATGGATGAAGAATGCACATCCAGACCCTGCCCCCAGCCTCGTGGTGCCCTATAGGCCTGGCTGGGTTAAAAAATAGGTGCGCATGCCTGACCCATGGTGGGTTCTTTGGCAGAAGCCAGCCACATGGCAAGGCGACTGCAGGACACTCTGATACCAAGACTATCTGAAAGGCCAGACAGCAGGTTGAGGAGTCCTGGGCTGCGTTTATGTAAAAATACAAAGCTGTGCACCCTTGCCCGGCGCGCTTCTAAAGGCTCCTAGGGAGTGTGTGTCACGGAAAGCTCTGAAGGAATACATACATCTCTGTAGCCAAGTCAACTCATCTGATTCCTCTGAACTTTCCACAGTCCCTGGCCACGTGGTGCAAGCTTGCAGTGGGTGCTGTCTGCAGGGGCACCACAGCTGGCCCAGGCAGGGCACAGCTCCTCACCACAGCTGGGCTAACCTATGGTAGAGCACGGCTCCTCACCATGCCTAGGCTGACCATGGGCGGGCATGGCTCCTCACATGACCAGGATGGCACACTGTAGGCATGACTCCTCATGGTTGGGCTGGCCCACAATGGGACGTGGCTCCTCACCACAGCCAGGCTAGCCCAGGGCTGGGCATGGCCTCACCACAACCAGGCTGACCGGCACTGGGACACTGCCCTGGCAGTGGGCTGCACTGCCTCTGTCCCTGCTGAGCGTGAACTCTCAGGATTGCGACAGACAGGCAGGCAAGCCTGCGACCACTCAATGGCAACACCAGCTGGTCTGATAATTTTCCCAGTGACTTGGAAATGGTCCCTGGTAGAACTGCCACGCCCCACCCCTCACCCTGTGAGCCGTGCCTGAGGTGCCACCTCTCCCAACTTGTGGGCTCTGCAGGTGGAGAGCAGGCAGCTCAATGGGGTGGATTTACACACATCCCAGTTCCTGTGCCACGTGCTCAGTTCTCAGTATGCCAGTTCTGAGGGTGCTGCCCTCAGATGCAGTTAACACAGCTCTCATGGGGTTCCTAGAAGCAATGTTGGCCCCTTCCCAGGCTCTGCCCCCTCACACAGGCTCCCACAACACCATCTGTCATGGAGCCATCAGCAGAGGCCACACTGGTGGGGCTCTTATCCCAGGACTTAAACCTCCCAAACTTCCTGACTCATCACCCAGCTTCTGATGTTGTATTACAAACACAAGTCGTGTGTCACTGCAGGCCTTACCCAGGTTGCAGCCCGAGTCATTTAGTTGCCCAGCTCCCACTTGGGCCCCGTGCCCAGTGCCCATGCTCTGGGACGCTGGCCTTCTTTGAGGAGGACTGAGAGCTTGGCATGGCAATCGTGGGAAGCAAACAAGATGCTGAGGGTCCCCCTCAGCAGCAGCCTGGCCTGGTGAGCACTGCTCAAGAACCGCTGGGAGTGCCCCCTGGCTCCTGTGACGTCGTCTCCAGCCTTGAGGGGGAGGATGGCCTGTCCTGGGCTCCAGAGGTGCCACCTGTCTGCTCTGAATACTTTACATGGCCTGCCACGACCACCACTTCATAGTTGTAGAAAGCTATCTGTTTCCTGTCTCCCAGGAAAATATGACACGTGGTAATAAAACCTCAACACGCAGAACTTTATACAAAGCAGGTCAAATGGCAGTTACAGTGGCAAGTCATGTATTTGGCTTAAAGCAGCTGTGTTACCCAAGTTAACGCGAAAGTCTGGTCTCCGTCCACAGGGTTATTAAATACATATCCTAGAGGGTCAGAGTCATCTGTTATAAACGGCAACAGCCCTGGGTAGAAACAAACATTCCTGGAGAGTTTGGTGTCAGTTTCCCAACGTGGGTCCCCAAAGCAGTTTATCTGAGGGGTCAGTTTTGAGGGGGGCACGTGCTGACGTGCAGGTGCCAGGGCAGCGGGGGACCTGGAGTCACAGGTGCTGTAGGGCCTCTTGGCCTTGCTCTGTGTGACCGTCGTCACGCTGGGTGCTGGCCCACTGGCCGAAGGACTCGTGAATATGCGCGTTCCTCTGTGTGTTGGCCGGCCGCTTCTTGTCCCGGGAGAAGAAGCTAAACCTGTGGGAAGAGCAGAGGCCACAGTGAGACCGAGCCTGGGCCAGGTGCGGCACATTTCGTGCTACCGCAGGGGCACAGAGCAGCCAACACGGGAGGGAGTGATCACTTAAGGCGTGAGAGGCCTCTCAGATGTGGCCCAGTTACTGGGCACGATCCTGGGCTCTTTCAGTCTTGGTATCATGGAGGTCACCCAGTGTGGACATGGTGTGTTTCTGTGAGTTACCTACTGGGTGGGGCCCTGGGGTCCTGCAGTTGTGGTATCATGGGGTCACCCAGCAGGACATGGTGTGTATCTGTGACGGATGAGGCCTTTCCCACCTCGATCCCTGCCTAGGAGCCTTCCCGTGGAAACAGGCCCTGGGGTCTCTAATGTGCCTGCTGAAGCTGAACAAAGCTCACTCAGAAGCCATGAGAAACGCAGGCTGCCTCTGACCTGCGTGGGCGCATGTTACCAGTGTAGGTCATCTGTAGGTCATCGTGTCTGTGATGTGTAATGTCAGTCAGGAAGCTGTCACACAGCAGCCCAGATTTCACGTGGGTTACTGCTCAGCATGGGGCTCTGTAGGCATTTAATCCCAGCACACACAGTTCTCTGATGAGAAACACTGAGGGGGCGTGTGCACAGGTAATAAAACCTGGAAGCTTGAGTGTGGAGTGTGTCACATTCGCTCGCTGCTCAGCAGGCGCTCCTGTGCACCAACAGCTGCAAGGCCGTGAGCATGCAGGCAGACACCCCAAGCGAAGGCCTGCCAACTGCACCCAGCCCTCCCGCGAGCTCCATAGACTGTCAGCTGCCTGCCCACACTGTCGGCTTCTCTCTGTTCCAAGCTCTTATCCCTGGAATTTGGGTTTCTGATGGTGTGTTTCCTGCGGGGGCTGTGGGGCACAGGAACAGGCACGAGAGTCCTGAGAAAGCCAAGTACATAAAGGACTCGGGGTTCCCTCTGTCCACCTGCCAGCTGCTGTGAGGGCCACTGCCCATGGGCTTCTGCTGCAGCCCATGTGGTGGGGCGGCTTTGCTGGCACCTGGCTCCTGCGGTTAGTCTCTCTAGGATAAAGTGTTTCATCGCAGAGACCAGGCGAGCGCTGCCTGATACTCCCTGGGAAGTAGGGGCTCTTTACAGCAGCAAGGAGGTACTCCAGCAAGTTTGTGGAAAATGGAATGAAAAGAAGTTTGTTGTAGAAAAAATTTTGAAATCCATGCATATGTCGTGTCTTCACGGAGGGGGCCGGCATCTCCTAGGGGTGCTAGCTCAGTTCCAGCTGCTCCAGCTCCCTACTCATGTGCCTGGGAAGGCAGCAGAGGATGGCCCAGTGCTTGGGCCCTGCACCCACATGGGAGACCTGGATGGGGTCCTAGGTTCCTGGCATCTGCCTGGCACAGCCCAGGCTGTGGCACCTATTTGGGAAGTGAACCAGCAGATGCAGGGTCTCTGTCTGTCTCTGATTGTTGTCCTGCCTTAAAAATAAGTGACTAAATCAATCTCTTTTTGCAATCTTTTTTTCCAAGCACACGTTGAGGTATTTCTGTAGGTGAGTGTACAGTGACCAAAGGCAGTTTCTGATCTCGGTGACTCATGAGCTCTGTCCGAGGAGTCGTCGGGCCAGTGAGTTGGCTGAAACTACAACAGCAACGCGGCCCTGTCACATTCCGCCCTGACTAAGCTAAGCAGGAGAGCCGCGTCCACTCCCAGCAAGCAGGAATCAAACACAACCTCAGCCCTCCTCTGCACTCCCTTTTGGATAAGATCAAATGGTGACCCACGGCACTTGGCCCGAGGAAGCAGTTTAGAAAGCTTGGCATGGAAACACAGGGTTAGTGTCACCCGGGGACTGCGGGGTGCCAGTTACTGACCCGTCACTGAAAGGACCTTCTTTACTGGACCGTGGACAAGGTGGTTTTACAGCAGAAATAGAAGAAACAGAGAGAAAGATTGGTGACCGAGCCTTGTGCAGGGGGTGGGGTGGCGTGTCCCCAGTCACACTCCATACCCACGGCAGAGCGAGGACACGCAGAGGCCAGCCATGCAGCAGCCACACGGCAGGCACAGCCCACACGAAACTCAAACCACACGCAGTGCCTACAAGGGAGACCAGTCGTCGGACAGGCTGCAGCGTGGGGTCATCTATTATCAGTCCAGCTGCCACCATGGGCATTATGGCTGTAAAGATCCTGGGCCGAGAAGTACAGGCAGAGGAGAGAAAAACGGGGGAGGCGTGAAACAGTGCACACATAGACCGCCGGCCGGCTGGACCCTGACCCTGACCCTGACCCCGGCTCTCAACAGGTGATCACACGGGGGAGCAGGGCCCTGGCCCTATGGACGAGACCAGTGAATACATCCTGAACAATAGGTGTCTTTAGAAAAGGGGAAACCTGAGGCTGAAGCCCTGAGCTGGAGGAGGCAGAGGGATACCAGAGGTGGCCAGCCAGCAGGACAGAGGCCGCAGCAGGGTCACCCACGGTCCTCGGAAGGCATGGAGTCAGCTGCCACTTGCAACTGACCTCACCTCAGCTGTGGTCGTGGCGGTCATCTGTGGTGCTCCATCAGAACTGTCCAAGGGCATGGTCATAGGACAGCTGCCAAGTGGACAGGGTGGCCCTCAAGGGTCTGTGTAGGAAAGGGAGGAGTATGGGGGTATGTGGTGACATCCTTGTGTGGGGCCTGTTGTGGCCAGTGAGCGCCTGGGTGGTCTCAGGACCACTTCCTGGTCCCCCTGCAGGAATTGGGGCTGATGCCGACAGCTCAGCTGCCCCTTGGCTGGGCAGGAGAGATGGACGTGACCCCATGGCCAGGTCACTGCCACACTGAGAGGTGAAGTTCCTGCAGACTGGCTGGGGTGGGCCTGAGGCACCTGTCTCCGGGTGCTGGAGTGGCTCCCTGCTGCAGCATTGGGTGCATCAGAACCACTGAGTGGGCTCTCAGGCGACACTGGGGAGAGGGGGGTGTGCAGAAGGAACGGGTTCCACCCTACACAGCCAGTCTCAGGTGGCATTTTAGACGACCACAGACAGGCAAAGAGGGTGGCAGGGAGGTGGGGTGGCCAGGGTCGGGGAGGAGGACAGGGACGGAGTGTGCTGCTGGTAGCACTGGCTTCCTGCCCTGAGCCTGGCGTCCTGTCACTGCTGCCCTTGCTGTCCTGTGGAGTGAGCCACACCAGAGGGGGGCGCTGGTGCCAGCATTGGCGGGGCTGAGGCTGAGGTCACCAGGGGCTCCAACGTGCCATCCTCGGGCAGCAGCTGCTCAGGCACACGCTGTTCTCAGAGTATCTTGCAGGCACGCTGTTTGCTCAGCAGCAGCAGGAGCAGCAGTTTCCCGTGTCCTTGTGGGGTTCAGCCCAGAAACATGGAATCGGCACCTGTGACTTGGGGCCTTGGGCAGCCAGCTCTCAGCCAGGGACGGGGACACCAGGGTCACCCCGACCTCAGGGTTCCTGGCAGAGCCGTGTAAGCCAAGTGAGGAGGCTTCACTCTAGGCCTCACTTTCTCTGAGAAATGAGGATGTCTGTCCCAATTCTAGGGTTTGGACAGGGTGACGTGTCTTTTAGTTCAAGTGCTCTACACTCTGGAAGCCCCTTCCAGCGCCCACAGAGGGTGGGGATGGCAAGGGCACGAGGCTGGGCTGCCGGGGGAGAGGGGCCACGAACCATCTAAGAATCCCTTCCTGGCCCCGGGCTCCTGACTAACAGCTGTGGTGCACACAGATGGCCAGTGTCCTGCCTGTGCTGCTCAAAAGCCTTTTGTGCCACTGTGCTCTCCAGTCGTGCCCTAGGAGGCCGGAGCTGCCACCTGCCTCTGCTGGGTGAGAGGTGCTGGTCTCAGACCTCGCTGCTTCCTCTGCCAGGCCAAGAGCCCGAGAACAACTTGGAGTGGGGAAGGTCTCTAAAAAGGGGCCGCAGAGCCCTTGAGGGAACAATCCAGAAAGCGACACACACCCACAGTCTTTCTAGAAATTCAGGTGTGGGTAGAACTGCTGGTTGATTTTGATAACTTTGGCCACTTGACAGTTGCAAAAGCCAACTAACTCTTCATTACTTACTTAGAAAAAGGGGGCTGGAACACAAAGCTCCAAAGTCAGAAAATTCCAGAAGCTTCTCCAAGAAAGTGTAGGTGTCAGAGCAGCCCACCCACATGCTGCTCCCCGACTCACAGGTGGGATGAGCTGGGGGCTCAGTGTGTAAACCATGCCAGCCTCATCTGTTACTGAGCAGCTTCTTCTAAACGATTCTTCAGACTCGAGATGGGGCTTCCTCTGCCTGGTGCAGCTCTGGAAGCCATCTGCGCCTCTCCCTGGCTCTCTGGCCTTGTACAGGGACCCGTCTTTCAAACCGACATCAGTCCACATGACCCAAATGGAGTTAAAGCTACTGCAAGGTGCCAGTGCTGTGGTGTAGCACATTAATCCTCTACTTATGGTGCCAGCATCACACATGGGCACCAATTCAAGTCCCGACTTCTGATCCAGCTCCCTTCTAATGCACTTGGAAAAGCAGTGGAAGATGGTCCAAGTATTTGGGCCCCTGCATCCACATAGGAGACCTGGAAGAAGCTCCCAGCTTCAGACCAGCCTGGCTCCAGCTACTGAGTGTAGCTGCCTCCCCTGCCCAGACCCCGAAGAGTCTCTTTCACTGTGTGATTCTGCCTTTCAAGTGAAGATAAATAAATCAGGTGGGAAAAAAAGCTGCTCTAGCTTCAGGGATGGGAATGAGACAATGGATGATCACTGTGCTGTCCTGTGCTTGGCTTAGGTGCAGTCATGTGGCCAGGCAAAGCCAAGCAGATTTCACTCTTGGGAACAGGAAGTCTGGACCGGAACCTGGGGGCCAGCGCTGTGGTGCTTCAGCCCTGACCACTGCACCTCCAACCCATGCCTGCCAACGCGCCTCGGGGCAGCAGCGGCGGCTCATGCGCCCGCGCAGGACACCTGGGGCATGTCCAGACTCTCGGTTGAGCCCGGCCAGTCCTGGCTGGTGCGGGCATTGGGAGCTTGAAGTAGCAAATGGGAACTCTCACTCCTCACGTCATCCCCCTCTCTTGCTTTGCCTTTCAAGTGGATGAAGAAAAAATAAACTCTTAAGAAGGAAGAGCTGCTGGCCGCTGCTTTCCTGAGAGGAGAATGCGGGTAGGTGAGGGAACAGCGGCCTGGCCCTAGCTGAGCCGGAGCTGGGGCATGCTGAAACACTTTAGAGACTTCGCCAAATTCCTCTTTCCCAGTTACTCAGAGCTGGGACTCGGGGGGGTTGTCCCCTCCAGGAAGGAGCTTTCTCTATCTCCAGCTGGGAGCATGTCCCCTTCAGCGCCTGAAGCTGGCCAGAAGCCAGGAGGAAAGCCACATGCTCACCCACCCGCTCCTCATCTGGGCTGCGGGCTGAGAACCCAGACATGGCGAGAACCCAGACATGGCACCATCTTCTATGAGGAGGATGCCCAGCTGCCAGCCCGCATGGGTTCCCCAGGAGTGAGCTCCCAGCCCGAGGCACAGCCTTCATCCCTTTCCCCAACACCTGCCAGTGCCACTGCTCCCACAAAGCCTGTGCTGTGACTCGGGGGGCAGGAGTGTGCTCTCTGCTGCAGTGAGTGCAGAGCCAGGATGCCCGGCGAGGGAGTTAAGAAGACAACAGAGGCAGCAGGACGCTGGCCTTGGAAGAGCTTAGAATGCAGCTTCCAGGCTGGCACTGTGGTTCATGCAGTGGGTGAGGCTGCCCCCTCTGATGCCAGCGCCCCCTATGCTGTCCCAGCTGCTCCACTTCCAGTCATGCTCCTGTTAATGTGCCAGCCACGTGGGAACCTGGATGGTGTTCCAGGCTCCCGGCTCCAGCCCTGGACATTGTGGTCTTTTGGGATGAGCCAGCAAATGGAAGATCTCTCTCTCCTTCTTTCTCTATAACTCTCCCTTTCAAATAGATAAATCTTTAAGATCCATACCCACAGATAAGCATCGCCTCCCAAGGCACCCCTATCAGTGCTCCCCCTGCAATTACAGCTTCCTGCTATGGTGTCCCCTGCGAGGGCCATGGTGGCTGCAGGAGTCAGGCCCCTGGATGGGGGTCCCACAGAAGCCCTGCATGGGGGAATGCTGTGCCCACTCACATTCCAGTTTCACAAGGATACACCCATGCAGAGACTCGCTAAGGGACCTACAGGCTAGCTGAGGACAAGCACTGGGTCCCCCAGCAGCCAGGGTCGACTCTGCATGGATCATGCACCACTCATCACTTGGTGGAGGGATGAGTCATCACAGAAACACACAGATGGAATGGAGCCAGGGCCACTCCTGACCTCCCAGAGCTGGGACCAGGGGATCTCCCTGTCTTCCAGCCTTGTTCACTGCCCTCAGAAGCCAGCCCACTACATGCTCGGCAAGCTGCTGAGCATCAGCCACAAGTCCCCGGCTCACCCCACCCTGCCCAGAGCCCTGAGGAGGAAGGCAGCACCCGGACGCCTTGTGAGCCCGGGCAGGGCCCGGATGAAGCTCCTCCCAGCGGCTGAGGCTGGGGACAGGACTGGCCCCGGGAACAGGTGCCTGCGAGGAAACGAGGACGCCAGCTGCGGGCAAAGCAGCCCCACGCACGGGAGGCTTAGCACTTACAGCCGCTTGATCCCCGACTCCGGCTGGGGGGACAGCCTCAGGTGGGCAGCGGGTGGAGGCGGAGGTATCCGGTTCTCCTCTTCCATTTCTTCACTGGAAAGAATTGAGAGGTATTAGGTACAAGAACTGTCAAGAATTCTGGGAGAGCTGCCACATTCCAGAAGGGCATAATCTGAGCAGGTCCAAACAGGGAATGAGACTGGGGGCCCAGGACAAGGTTCCCAGAACCTCAGCCCCCACAAGTCTGCCAGCTGGAGCGTTGGCCACTCACCACGGGCAAGCGATCCTGGAGGCGAGGACACAGGTGCCGTGTCCATTAGACCCAGCAGTCAAGTGGGAGCAGTTTCAGGAAAGAGCTGCATCTCCCACTGCAGTCAAACATGACCCCACTTCCCGACTTTACAAAGTGCCTCCTCGACTAGGCACCCTCCTAGTTCTACCGCCTATTGTCAAGTGCCCCCCAACCAGACGTCCCCATGCCTGCCGGCGTGCCACCCCCACCTCTAAGGAAGGCCTGCCTCCTCCAGAAGCCCTCCCATCTGCACCCCGTCTCCAAGCCACAAGTGATGTCTCCTATCTCTGAACTCCCCAGCACCCAGTTGATCAGACCGACATGTGCCAGGCACACATGAGGTACAGCATCCTCCTCGCCTTTGCTTGTCGCTGCCGGGGCAGGGAACACCTTGTCCGTGGAGCACCTGTCCCTCTTCCGGCTTTCCCCATCGGTTGTGCACCTTGGCTTTCCCCATCGGTCTTGTGCTGGGTGTAGGCGACCCAGCCATGCACACTGCTGTCCAGCCGCTTACTGCGTGCTGTGACAACAGATGGCAAAACAACTGCCCCAGTGAGTAGGAAAAGTGTCACGTGACATATGTAACTGGGACAGGGAGCTTCTTTAGGGGAGGGTGAAGGAGGAGGGGACATGTGAGGCAGCCCCTGACAACCAGGGCTCTGCCAGGGGCAGCTCTGAGGGTCCATCTTCTGGCAGCGTCACAGTGTGTGCCAAGGCCCTGGGGTGGAGGGGGCTGGGTATGTGTGAGAGTTGACGTGTGAGGTGGTGATGCTGGCCAGGCGGAGCACAGGATGGCTGCGCCTGTCCCGGGCCATCGTGAGGATGTTCACATTGGCACTGATCCCATCGAGTGTGAATATTTGCATCCTTGCTGACAGAGTGCCAATGTGCTGCTGTGCTTGGCCTCAATGTCCTGCTGCAATCTTGAGGTGGGGTAGGGTACACATCTTCTTGCAGCTGCGAAGATGTGAGTTACGAAATGGCACTGGGCTCTAGAGTCTCAAAGGCCACACGCAGGGGAGGCGGGGTCTCTCCGAAATGCCTGGCTGCTGGGAGGAGCTGGTACACAAAGGCGAGGAGCTTACCTCTTGTAGTAGGCCAGCTCCTCCTGCAGCAAGAACACCTTGGACTTGAGCTCATTCCGCTCGTGCAGCACGTCCCGCAGTTCCTGCAGCGTGAACCGGGGCCGGTTGGGGTCCTTGAGGTCCATGGCCGCCTTCTCAGCGTCAGAGACACAGTCCTCCCCGCTGGGCTCTGCCTGCAGGAGGCACAGATGAGGCTGTTGAAACGCTGCAGTCACCCCAGCTCCCACTCGCTTCCTGAGCCTGCCTGTGCTCCCACCCTCCGCGGGCGAGCAGCTTGCCCAGGGCGCTATTTCCAGCACTCGTGGGCAGCCCCGTGCAGCTTCCCGGGGGACGGAAGCCACGGCCACCTGCTCACAATGCGCATCCCACGCCACCCCACTGACTCAGCGCTTTTTTACACATGGGAACAGCCATTCCAGGAGCAGGAAGTTGTGCCTGATGCCACTGCCTGTCTCTCCTCCCCGTCCTATGACAACGGCTAACCTGGCCAAGGTGGGCAGCACTGCTGCCTACCTGTGACAACATGTCATTCCCCTGGCTGTTGGCTCCGCCTGGCCATGTCCCCAAGCACACCCAGGCATCTCCTTCTGGTCAGCCATGCAAAGTCGCCTGACCAGTCAGACCGACCCAGACCCTCCTCCCACTTTCTTCCAACAAAGAAGCCTTCTTAAAGAAAAAAAAAAAAAACCCACTATGGACACAAAACCCACAACAGTGCAAAGGTCACTGATCTAAGTTAGCATGTTTCACAGGGTTGTGTAGATACCACCTCTGTGGTTCTAGAGTAGCTCTCCCAAAGGGAGACCCTGCACCCAGCAGCCAGTCACTCTGCACTCCTCTTGTCCCATCATTCCTGGGACACCCGCACCCCCATGTACATGGCCACACTTGGGATACCTGTATCCCTCACCCTTGCGTGCACGGCCACGCCCAGGATACCCCCACCCCCAGTGTACATGGCCACACTCAGGATATCCCTGGCCCCTGCCCCTGTGTACACAGCTACGCTCAGGATACTCCCACCCCCCTGTGCATGGCCACACTCAGGATACCCTCACCCCCGTTCCAGTGTACATGACCACGTTCAGGATAACCCCCTTTCTTCAGGGACAGCCACCTGTGTCTTCCCACCTTGCAGCTGTCACTGAGGGGCTGAGAAACTTCCGGCACTGGTATTTGCACAGCTGTCAGTGCGCTGACACTCCCAGAAATGAGCTGCTGAGTGACGTAGCAGGTCTGTGTGTATTTACTTGAGAAGAAGCGGGCTCCCATGTGCTGGTTCCACAGCCCCTGCCTACAGGTGCCCCAATCCCGAGCTACTCACACACGGTCACACGGAGTGGACAGAGGCCAAGGCACCAGGGGGAAGCTCTGGAGTCAGCGGTGGGAGATGGGATGACACCCTCTGGCCCCTCTCTGCACCCCACCCCAGAAAGCCAAAACCACAGCAGTCAGGGGAGTGGGGGGCTGCAGCCTGGAGGGTGACGCAAAAGCCGGAGGCTGGCAGAGCCAGGACAGGATGTTCCTGGGAGAGAGCACTCGAAAGGAGACACCGCCCACGAGGTCGATCAGGTGACAGAGGTCCTGATTTGGGAGGGCAGGTCCGGGCGTGTCCAGCCTCAGCACTGGAGTCCCCACGGAACAGCGGGCAGTTGGGAAGGGACTCACACAGCAAGAAGCTGAAATCTGGCCCATGTCTGTTGCTCCCCCAAACCATCTGGGCAGAGTCCCAGGTCCGGCTTCCCCTCCATGGGCCAGAGGAGATTATGGCGCAAGAGGCCTAAGAGGCCTCGTGAGATATTCCAGGAGTCTGTGCACAGCGTTTCCACGGTGTGGTTTCTGGTCCAGCCGCCTTTCCAGAGCCGCCTGCACAAGACCACACTTAGAAGTAACCGGTATGCGGCAGGCACTCCACAGTGCTCACTGCCTGGGTTTGCTATGCAGTGATTCCAAGCCTTGCCAATTGCTGCACTCCAACCTGGGCACCATACGGGTGGGGGGTGGGAGCAGGCTGCAGGAGCAGTGGTTGACAAGCTGAGTGTGGGAAGCTTGTTGTGTGGGGTCTGGACAGCTGGGCAGCAGGTGGCTGCCACTAGAAGCACCTGGACAGACAAGAGGCTGCAAACTGGACCCCAGAGACCAGCCTCGGGCACTCCCCATCACATACCATTAGTCCTCTTCTCTGTGTTCTAAGCTGCTGAGCTGGTTGCCAAGGAGACTTCAGAGTGAAACTGAGTTTGGGGTTTTTTTTTTTGGATTGGCAGTTAAGACTTTCTTCCTGACTCCCGCTCCCTAGGACGCAGACCCTGGGCGGCAGCGGGAAGGCTCCAGGGGTGGGGCCTCTGCGCCCCACATGGGAAAGCCTCCTGACTTCGCCCTGATGCAAGCCAGCCATTGTGGATGTTTGGGGAGTAAGTACATGGATGAACACTCTACCCTCAGATAAATAAGTGCACTGAGGTGCAGCTGGGACACTGAAAAGCCAGAAACAAATCTGGAAGGTTGGGCCCTGCAGGGCCCATGCGCTTTGCAGCGGCCCTGGCCCACGTTAGGGGCTGTTACCCGACCCTGGGACACTCCTCCTTCTGACCCCAAACCTGACACCTGGCAGCTCAGGTCCTGCTATTCACCAGTGGGGTTCCCAGAGCCTGGAGGTGGGGCTGAGGGACCTCCCCCACCGACTCAGCACACCCCCACAGGCCTCCTCCAAACACCCCCGACAGGCCTCCTCCAAATCCGAGTTCTTTTTTCTGGGAATGGACGGCTATGGCTGGCCAGACCTGGAGGTGAGAAAGCTGCTACCGCGATGGCCGTCAACTGGCCTGCACACAGCGGCCCTTCTCGGCTTACTCCCCAAGGGCCCCGGGGGACGGGGTGTTCTCTTGTCCCTCTGGAGGCCTTTTGGACACAGCTTGAGGGAGAAGCCCCTGCCTTGGGAGTGGTCCCGGCTGCCCCAGTCACCAAGGTGCCCTACTGCCCCTCGCACAACAGCTAGGGCTGCTGGGTCAGGCTGGGTTGCCTTTATGGGTGGCCAGGACCCAACTTCTTGCGCCAGCAACTGCTGCCTCCCAGGGCACACACAGAAAGCTGAGTGAAAGCAGGGCCAGGGGTAGGATATGGGGTGCAGGGGTCCCAAGCAGCCTCTCACCCCTGCACTGACGCCCACATACGTGGGAGTGGTCCTAGGGAGGACCTTCAGCCTTCTCTAAGGCACTGCGGCAGTGCTCAGGTCTGTGGAAGCCAGGCAAGACCTTGGCCCCAGCAGGGGCCTGAGGACAAAGCCAAAGACCTACTACGGGCAGGCAGCTGGTCACCCCGCACACTATGGGTTCACACGTACGGCAGCATCCCCAACAGGGCTATTCACGGAGAAAGTAGAGCCGTGCTTCCAGGGGCCAGACTCACTGCCTGCCAGTGTGTAGGGGCTGCAGGGTTTTAGGGTGGAGGGAACATTCTAGAAGACGGTGGTGACTGTGCATTGTGGTGAAGTGTCAGGAATCACACCACCGTGTGCCTGGAGCAGCAGGGCTGTGTGGCATGCAGGTCACATCTTGGAAGGGGCTGCACAGTAGGTGACGGTGAGGCGGCTGGACCCTGTAATCCAAGGACTGAAACCTGCACTGTGATGCAGCCCGCTCTGGCTGATGGGTCCAGCCCAGGCGTCGGGCCCCAGCTCAGCTCATGCTGTGTGGCTGGCCATGGACTATGAGTGAGCAGAGCAACTGACTCACTTGTTCTAACAGCTCGTCAGGGTGAGTGTCATTACAACTCCTATGTTAGGGACGAGGAGTGCAGGCACAGAGGGTCCTGGGGGGCCCTGAGTCCTGCTACGTGGCTCCAGAGCCTGGAGATGGCTTCTCCCCACGGCTCCTCCTACAGCAATGGACTCTTGCCTCCGTGCCTCTCCTCTGGCACCAACTGCTTCTCTTATAAATTTGGATCCATAAAAACCTCCCTTTCCAAGTATCAAGTTCTGTGAGCTTTGGCCCACTCAGAGCCATGAGAACGGCGTCGCTGCTGTCTAAATCCAGAACATTCCCATCCCGCCGGGCAGTCACGGAGGCCAGCCTCCCCGCCTCCCCCATCCTGTTCATCCTGGTGGACAAGTGACACTCCCACCGAGGCCTGCGGGGCGCAGTGCCGCCCTGGGCATGTGTCTGGGAGATGAGGTGGATGCCGTGTACAGCCTCTGTGGGCAGAACTGCTGGGGCACAGAGTGTCATGTGGTACCATCGGGGGCCACATGATGACCAGCTCGCCCTCTGAGTCCCCGCACACACCCACGCACACTCAGCAACCCTGCAGGCAGGCATCAGTGGCAGGTGCCAGCTGCCATCGCTCACTGAGCTGTGCACCCTGGGCCTCACTGCTGGGGGTCTTGGGTTCCAGAGCCAGCCCCGCTGTGTCCTCGGGCCAGTAGCTTCTTTTCTCTGGGCCTCCCAGTGCCAGCCTGGCCCACGGTCTCGCTCCCCCAGGCTTACCTCGGGTTCCTCCTTCTGGTCCTGGCCACGCTCACCCTGCAGCCTCTCCCGCAGCCGCCCCAGCTCGGCCCGCAGGCTGCCCATCTCCTGCTCCTTGGTCTGCAGGTCTGCCTCCAGCTCCACCTTCTGCTCGATGAGGGCTTTGCCCTGAGCCTCCACCACCGTGACGCGGTGCCGCAGGTCGTGGTTAATCTTCATCAGCCGGGTCTGCTGCTGCTGCAGCTAGAGAGAGGAGGGAGACCATTGCGTGGGGATATCTTGGACGGCAGCTGGGGTAGGGCACTGCTTAGGGCCAGCCAGCTGCAGGTGTGTCTGACATCTGGTCACAGTTTTTATAACTCTGATGACCCCAGAGATGGGCACTTGGGCAGGCAATAGGTAAGTATAAGGATGAATACACAGTGACAATTTCTCAACAGAAGGAGCCTGGACCACTCTCAGTCTGCTCAGAGGGGTGGCTACAGGAGACCCGGGTCCCAGCTCCAGCTCCCTGGGACCACCCTTAGGTGTTGGCAGAGCTGGGTCATTGAGCATTGCCATTTCCTCCCACCCTTCCAACAAAACCGGGCATGGCTGGGCCCACTAAGCCATGGGCAGGACCTGCCCTGTGGAGTCCAGAGCAGTGACCCCAGGAGCAGGGGTCCAGGCCCTTGTTGGTCGCTGCCTGCCGTAGGGTGGACCTGGGGCAGGGCCGGTCACTCACGGCCTCCACATCCTCGTTTTTCAGGCCGAGCTCCCGGTCCTTGGCACGGATCTCGTCCCGTTGCTTGTCCACCACCTCCTTCAGCTTCTTCATCACCTGCCGTTCACGCTCCGACATGCCTGGGGGTGGCGGGCACAGGCAGTGTGGCTCCACTGCCTTCCCTGCTCGGGCCATCCAGCACTTCCTCAGCCTCGCCCCTCCCCTGCCCAGTGCTCCTGGCCAATGCCCACCTGGAGCCCCAGCTCCCTGCTTGTGGCCTGGGAAAGCAGTTGAGGATGGCCCAAAGCCTTGGGACCCTGTACCCGCAAGGGAGACCTGGACGAAGTTCCTGGCTCCTGGCTTTGGATTGGCACAGCACCGGTTGTTGCGGTCACTTGGGGAGTAAATCATCGGATGGAAGATCTTCCTCTCTATATCTCCTACTCTCTGTATATCTGACTTTGTAATAAAAATAAATAAATCTTTAAAAAAAGAAAAATTTTTAAAAGATTTATTTATCTGAGAGAGTTACAGGGACAGAAAGACAAAAAGATCTTCCATTTGCTGGCTTTCTCCTCAGATGGCCCGGTCTTTCATGAGTAGGAGCCACTATTCCCAGGAGTGTTAGTTGGGAACCAGTGCCCGTAGAGAGGCCGGCCTTGTAGCAGGTGGCTTAGCCCACTGCACCACGCCCGGGTCCCTTCCATGTGCCATTGCTGGTAGGCGCCACCTAGGAGAGTCTAGCTCCCTGGCTGGGCAGGAAAGCACCCGAGGTGGAGGTTACGCAGGGACTTGAGGCCGAAAGAGCCACTCTGTGCCAGCTCACAGGAACCCTCAGACCCTCCTTTTGCCCCTGCTTCTGCCCAGTCTCGGCTCATGGTCACCCATGAACTGGGGGTCACAGGTCCCATCATCTCTCAGAGACCCATCTGCCCAGGATTTGTCCCATGAGTAGCCGGGAGGAGCGTCTGTCCTGTGTTCCCGTGGCTCCCCATGCAGAATAAAAATAACCCTGAAGGCACGCCTGGCATGTGCTGGCTGCCGTGCTCGGGCGGGGGCTGGTGGAGCAGAGGCACCCAGTGTCTTCCAGGCTGACCCTGCCGGAGCCGGATCTGTACTACTGGGCGTCATGTGAGCACATCTGAGTCGCACCCATGGGGGCTGCAAGTGACAGCCCGGTGACCATGGAGCCAGCTAGAGGGACACTGCACAACCAACGCAGCAGACACACAGCCACCATGACACAGCTCAGTGCTCTAGGCTGTCACTGGGGCACCCCCAGGGCCTGTGTGCCCTGCAGGAATGTCAGACAAAAGGTGGCAGGTTCCTCCTTACGCTCGCCACAGTCCTCGTAGGCTGTGCCCCATACAGCAGGACACACAGCTGCGTGTCCACACCATTGCTGGCCACCGAAGTGTGGAAGCCCTGACATCCTCCAGGGGGTAAGTGGGTGAACCTGACCCATGCAGCCACGGACAGGAAGCCATATCTCAGGTGGCTGCATTCCAAGCGGGCTAATCCAACATGCCTGGGAGTTATGGCTGGGGTGCTGTGGCGATGGTGGCTCACACCTCAAAGCTATGGGAACAATGTTCTAGAGCTGTACTGGGCACGGCTCTGAAGATACAGGAGACGGCTGAGAGTGTGGCACACACGGTGCTCATAGCATCGCTAACAAAGCAGCACAACCCAGAGCTTTCCACGTGCCAACTGGCTGCCCCGGCCCCCACAGCAATGCCCGTGGGTTCCAGCTGAGGGAACGGCCATACAGGATCGGACACAGCCCGACCAAGGTGCACAGTGAGACTCCAGCAGCCGGGGCCCCCAGGTCCCGCCTTCTGCAGCCCAAGCAATCTATCTGTCCTATCTGTCCTTCGGGAGAGAGGGCCCGGGGTGGGCATTTGCACGGCGGCTGTGGTGCTGCGTCCTGTGTCACAGCCTCTTCCAGCTCCGGCTGGCAGCTCAGGTGCACCCTGGGAGGCAGAGGTGGCTGGTGGCTCACTCGAGGGCTCAGATCCCTGCCATTCGCACAGGAAAGCCTGAATGAGCTCCCGGCTCCTGGTTCAGCCTGGCCTGCCCTGCCTGTTACCAGCACTCGGAGAGTAAAGCACTAAGTGGGGACAATCTGTCTCTCTACCTTCAAAATAAATTAAAATTTAGGAGAAAAAAGAACATATCTATATGAAGACTGACACTCTGAAAGATAAATAATTAAGTAAAAAAAAAAAAAAAAATCCAGGCCTGGCATGATAGCATAATGCCTAAAGTCCTCGTCTTGAACGCACCGGGATCCCATATGGGCACCGGTTCTAATCCCAGCGACCCTGCTTCCCATCCAGCTCCCTGCTTGTGGCCTGGGAAAGCAGTCGAGGACGGCCCAAAGCCTTGGGACCCAGCACCCGCGTGGGAGACCCGGAAGAAGCTCCTGGCTCCTTGCTTCAGATGGGTTCAGCTCCAGCCGTTATGGCCACTTGGGAAGTGAACCATCAGATGGAAGATCTTCCTCTCTGTCTCACCTTCTCTCTGTATATCTGCCTTTCCAATAAAAATAAATAAATCTTTAAAAAAAAATCCACGGAGGGAGTGGGAGTTTGGGTGGGGGGTAATCCCAAATAAAATAAAATAAAATAAAAATCAAGGGACACTAAACTCCATGTAGATTCTTGGATAAATTTTTTTTTTAAAGATTTATTTATTTGTATTGCAAAGTCAGATATACAGAGAGGAGGAGACAGAGAGGAAGATCTTCTGTCCAGTGATTCACTCCCCAAGTGGCTGCAACGGCCAAAACTGAGCCGATCCGAAGCCAGGAGCCAGGAGACTCTTCTAGGTCCCAAGGCTTTGGGACATATATAATCTACCATTTAAATAAAGCAAATAAATGTTAAAACAGACACAAAGGAAACTAGCGCTAATGCTTTCGCCTTAAATTCTCTTTTTCTCCCATTCACATCTTTACACCAACATCTGCATTGTGTAACTCTTTCTGATCTTTTGATTTCAACTCTTATCACAGGCATCTCTTACAAACAACACATAGTTGGGCTCCTTAAATCCAGCCTTGTCTTAACTATAGCATCAACTTCATTTACATCTAATGTAACCTCTCATATAAGTGACTTTTTAAAAAAGATTTATTTATTTTTATTGGAAAGGCAGATATATAGAGAGAAAGAGAGACAGAGAGGAAGATCTTCCATCTGATGATTCACTCCTCACGTGGCCACAATGGCTGGAGCTCAGCCAATTCGAAGCTAAGAGCCAGGAGCTTCTTCCGGATCTCTTACGTGGGTGCAGGGTCACAAGGCTTTGGGCCGTCTTTGACTGCTTTCCCAGGCCACAAGCAGGGAGCTGGATGGGAAGTGGAGCTGCCAGGATTAGAACTGGCGCCATATGGGATTTCAGCATGTTCAAGGCGAGGACTTTAGCCACTAGGCTATTCCGCCAGGCCCTATAACTGACTTTAATATTTCTCATCCTGATCTACTGCCTAATTGTAGTTTCTACTTTCCCCCCGTCTTTTTTTTTTTTTTTTTTTTTGAGATTTTTCTTTTTGGAAATGCAGGTTTAGAGAGAGATGGAGAGACAGGGAAAGACTCCCCATTTGCTGCTTCACTCCCCAAATGGCCACAAAGGCCAGGAGCCAGGAGCTTCTTCAGTCTCCCACACAACTGCAGGGTCCCAAGGCCTCGGACTCCTCGACTGCTTTCCCGGGTCACAGGCAGGGAGCTGGATGGGAAATGGAGCAGCCACGACATGAACTGGTGTCCAAATGGGATCCCAGCACTTGCAGGCAGTGGATTAGCCAGTACAGCCATCGTGCTAGGCCCCCAACTTTGCTTCTTGTCTTTAGTTGTGGGGCTGAGTGCCCCGCTCCTCCGCCCAGCCCTGGCCCGAGTGGTGTGTGTCACGCCTCCCAGTCTCCAACACAGCACAGTCTCGAGGGGGCCCCAGGCAGAGGCTCCATCAATGCCACAGGACACACAGAGGGACTGAGGGACAGTGTCCACTGCTGTCTGGAATAGCATGGCGGCCTGTTCCCTGGGGCTGGGCGATACCTCCGCCTGCTCCTCAGCCTCAACACACGCTTCCTCCAACCCCAAGTGAGGGTCCAAAAGAGTCAGAGGCCTTCCCGCAGGGGCCTGACCTCAGCAGATGCCCCTTGGAGGCTCCACAGGCCATGGACTGGCCGCCCCGCCTGGGCAATGCCTTCCCAACTGTCCAATGAGGAGGCCGACACAGTGACAGCAGCTCGGAGCAGCACCAGCAATGCCTGCAGCATGTCTTCCATGAACTGGACAGGATTCAAAGCCATCTACACCCATGAACTCACTGGACCCTCAGTATAACCTCACGAGGGGATTTGCTATAACCCCCATTTTAACGTGTCGGGGGGCAACACGGGCGTCACACAAACATCAAGGCCCTTGGTCAGAGTCCCTCAGCAGGCAGGTGTCGGGTTCAAGCATTTTCATCACACAGCTTGACTCGAGACATCCCAGGAGAGGGCTCCAGTACCGGAAGGCCAGGTACCACCTCCTCTGTACCCGGAGATCAACGGCTGGGGTCCAGGCCTCTCCCCCGGGATACAGGAGACCCTCTGGGACACCCCATGAGCAGATGCTGTAGTAGGTAGCCCTCCCCACACGGTCCACCTCTCCCCCACCTACCTTCGTGCTTCTGGAACTCATCCTCAGACAAGCTGATGTCCTTGTGGGACAGGTTGGTCATGAGCTGCTTGTTCTCTTCCTGCAGCTGGGCGATCTGCGAGAGCAGGTCCTGCGCCTCGCCCCGCCACACATCCTCCACCAGCTCCAGCTCCTGCCAGGACAGGAGCAGCAGGGGTCACAGCCCGCCGGAGCAGTGGCCGTCCCTGCCCGCTCTCACCTTCCCCAAGGGCACCAGCCCGGACCACCTGTGACCCACACAGTGCTGCTGGAGTGACAAGAAGGCAGTTCTGCTGGGCAGGCACCTGCACTGACGCCACAAACACCTGGCTGAGTGAGCGCAAGAAGCTGGGACAGTGCTTTCTGCTCAATCACCCTGATGTCCAAGGACAGGCCAGCAGCCCCAGACTGCGGGCTCCCCATTCTTGTTCCCAGCCATCTCTGGGGCGCTCTGGCCCCGACTCTCTGCACACAGACCTCTCGCCCCAGCAGAGCAAAAGCTGCTCAGAGCCTGGGGCTGGCCAGGGTAACACATGTCTCCTGGGGGCATCCAGGGTAACCCAGTGAGTGGAGGCTGCAATTGGGCTGTGTGGCGCAAGGAATGTCCGCAGGTGGACGTGAAAACGCCTGATCCAGGGCAGCCAAAGGCAGAAGCAGCCCGACTGCCCGTCAATCGTGCAAGTATGCGTTCATGCCAAGAGAACACTACTCAGCTGTAAAAGGTGCCAACTGCTGACAGTGTCGCAGCATTCACCAGCATCGTGGTGGGGCAGGCCCAGCATGTTAAGCCACTGCCTGTGACGAGGGCATCTCTTACCGAGCACAGGTTTGAGTCGCAGCTGGTTTGCTTCCTATCTCGCTTCCTGCTAAGGTGCCTGAGAGGCAGCAATGGTATTGGGCCCAGCACCCCCGTGGAGACCCAGATGAAACTCTGGGCTCCGGGCTTTGGCCTCGCCCAATCCTGGCTAGCGCAGCCAAAAGCTGGCTGAACAGTAGACAGAAGAATTCTCTACCTCTCTGTTGCTCTACCTTTCCAATAAATCTGCCGTTCTCTTTTTAAATGGTGGCTTTATTATTGTAAAGGCAGAGTTACACAGGGAGGGACAAGCAGAAAGATTGTCCACCTGCTGGTTCCCTTCCCAAATGGTTAGAGGTGCCAGGGCTGGGTCAAGCCAAAGGCAGCAGCCAAAGAGCTTCTTAGGGCCTCCCGAATGATACAGGACTCCAAGGACTTGGGCCATCCTCGGCTGCTCTCCCAGGCGCATTAGAAGGGAGCTGGAGGCCCAGAATGATGGCTTGCTGGCTAAGTCCTTGCCTTACATGAGCCAGGATCTTGTGTGAGAGCTGGCTTGTGTCCACTCAGCTCTCTGCTTATGGCATGGGAAGGCAGTGAGGGTGGACCAAAGTCTTGGGATCCTGCACCCACATGGGAGACCCAGAGGGGGCTCCTGGCTCCTGATTTTGGATTGATTCAGCTCTGGCTGCTGCAGCCACTTGGGGAGTGAGCCAGTGGGTGGAAGATCTTTCTTTCCTTCTCTCTGTTAATCTGCCTTTCCAACAGAAATACATAATTATATGTACAGATATGTACATGTATGCATACACACGTGCATACATGCCCAGCAGAAAGGCCTGAAGCACAAGATCCTGGGTCACATGATCCTATAGACACAGGCTGTCTTGAACAGGCAAATCTACAGACGGTGGCCGTGCAGGGCCGGAGCCCCGGGGAGGTGAGGGGTGACTTCTCTTCTGGAGTAAAGGAACCTTCCATCGTTGCCCTACAAATAGGCTAGAGAGCATCGAACTGTAGACTTTCAGGAGGTCAACTTCACAGTATGTGACAATCCCCAGGAAGCTCTCCCAGCAGCCGGGGTCTATCACGAACCCACAAACCACCACATGGCTGTTGCTGCTGCCGGCCCAGGACCCCAGCCAGAGGCCACTCAGTGCTGCCTGTGGGCTGATGGGGCTCCCTGGGAAGGTGGGTGCCTGGAGAGGAGGAGGAGGAGGGTGCAGGATCTCCCTGGGGGGTGGTAGCAGTCAAACGGTCACTACATGGAAGGCACCGTATCCTGCTGGGGACCTGGCACATCACTCCTCTCCATGCCGCCTCCACAGCTCTCGCGAGTCGGCAGGTGGCCGGACAAGGCAGCTTTACCTCTTTCCATCTTCCAGCTAACCCCTTAAATCCCACCTCCTCCGCCAGGAAGCAGCACTGGGGACAGAGGGTTGTCACTGAGCGTGTGTGTGTAGCGGTTCCGCTGGCGGGCAGGCGTGGGGCTGGGACAAGGGGCCCTTGCTGCACGCACATGTGGTATGGGGGCAGATGGTTTCCTCCAGCTGCTGCTCTATGCCGGGGCTCAGCCCCTGCCATCAGCAGAGGCAGGGCCATGGCGGCCTCAGACACCGCGCCCCCATCCCCCAGAGCCTGACAATCTGCTTGCTATTCTACAGCTGTGCTTAGGCTAAGGGTTGGGGGCAGGGGTGATCTTGGATTACCTGGGTGGGTCAGGTCAGCACAGGGTCCTTACAAGTGGGGTCCTGGTGGGGGTCAGGCATGGTGGCGCGGCATGCTGAACCACTGCCTGGGATTCTCGCATCTCACTGCAAATCCTAGCTGCCCCACTTCCTACCAGGCTCCCTGCTAATCTGGGAAACTCACTTTTTGGGTCCCTGCAGGTGGAGAGGCATCTGGGAAGTGAACCAGCAGATGAAACTTGCTCCCTCACCCTTCCTCTCCTCCCCTATTGAATCTCTTCATCACTCTTTCAAATAAACAAGTAAACAAACTTTTTAAAAAAGAAATTCATGGGATGACGGTCTATTCCTCCACCTGTAACACCCCATATGGGCACTGGTTTGTGTCCAGACTATTCCGCATTTTTTTAAGATTTTTTTTTTTCGAAAGGCAAATTTACAGAGAGGAGAGACAGAGAGAGAGGATCTTTCATCTGCTGTCTCAGTCCCCAAATGGCCACAATGGCCACCAATCCGAAGCCAGGTGCCAGGAGCTTCTTCTGGGTCTCCTACATGGGTGCAGTGGTCCCAAGCTTTGGGCCATCTTTGACTGCTTTCCTACAGCACAAGCAGGGAGCTGGATGGGAAGTGGAGCCGCCAGGACACAAGCCAGCACCCATGTGGGATCTTGGTGCTTGGAGGTGGAAGATTAGCCTATTGAGCCACTGTGCCAGCCACTTCCTGCATGACATCCCCTCGTGGGCGGGAGGCAGGTGGGCCAGAGTTCCAGATACCGTGGTCTGGAAGCAGCACAGTTAGTGAAGATGCCATGCACACTGCAGACTTCCAAGAGGGAAGGAGGGAAGGAGGGAAGGAGGGAAGGCATGGAGCTAGGCGTGCACACAGAGTCCAGGCCCCTCTTTAGTGTCCCCTGCAGGCAAGGAGCCACTCTGACTTGGCTCAAGACTAGTCATGGGGGACCCCTTCAGCCCCAGGCCCTGCGTCTCCATGTGCATCTGCCCTACACCGTCCTCTCCCCTTCACACACTCCTGAGTTCCCCCTGCCCAGTGGGAGCTTCAGACCTGAGGCCGCAGTTCTCGTTGCTTCTCTCTGGTTCCTGTCTTAAGGTGACTGCAGGGAGAGTGACCTGTCACATGCAGCCGAAGTCCTTGCCCAAGCAATCAGCCCCGGCTGGCCACTTCCCTTGCCTCAACCTGCAAGGTCCCGCACTCCTGCACTGGCCCCTCCACCACGTCCAACCCAGCCCGGGACCTGGGCACTCACCCTGGCTTACACCTGCCCTGGCTTCTATCCAGAACACTTTCTCATTCAGGAATTAGAGCTCTCTCTCTCTGCTTCTCAAAAAAATTAATATATATATATTTTTAAATGTCACTTTGTTCACAAATATTACTTATTTATATTATGTATTTTTTTATTATTATTATTTTTTCATTGGAAAGGCAGATATACGGAGAGGAGAGACAGAGAGGAAGATCTTCCGTCCGATGATTCACTCCCCAAGTGAGCGCAACGGCTGATGCTAGGCCAATCCGAAGCCAGGAGCCTCTTCCGGGTCTCCCACGCGAGTGCAGGGTCCCAAAGCTTTGGGCCGTCCTCGACTGCTTTCCCAGGCCACAGGCAGGGAGCTGGAAGGGAAGTGGGGCTGCCGGGATTAGAACCGGCGCCCATATGGGATCCCGGGCGTGCAAGGCGAGGACCTTAACCACTTGCGCCACTGCGCCGGGCCCAAAAAATTTAATATTAATAATAATAAAACGGGCATCTCCTCGTTTGACCAGGATCTTCAAGAAGTCCATGAAAATGCAGGTTATGAGAAAACAGCACAGATACAAATATTTTTTAATTATTTGAAAGAGAGAGTGGCAGAGCCAGGCTCTTCCTCCAGGGCACCCTCATGGGTGGCAGAGGCCCAAGCACCAGGGCCAACCTCTGCTGCTTTCCCAGGCAACTTGGCAAGAAGCTAGATGGGAAATGGAGCAGCCAGGACTCGAACCTACTGCTATCGCAGGCAGTGGCTTAAGTCGGGGGACTACAATGCTGCCCTCTCAAAACATTTTTGCACTGAAATAGCTTTTCCTTTTCTAGCCCCGAATTTTCTAAATTGCTCCCATACAGTGTTAATTCTATTTGTCACGAGCAAATATGTATATTTAAACCTCTTTGCTCACGCTAGAACATCACCATCGTGCGAGTGGCTGCGGCTCATCCGGCTGAAATGGCGCGGGATGCTCAGCTTCCGGGACGGAGACGGGGAAAGCAAGGCGAAAGGTGTCGTTGCTATTCACAGCGATGGCACGTAGGAAAAAAGCCTGAGTACCCTGGGTCTCATAAGACATCTGAAAGCTGGGCAAAACTGGGCGCTGGTGCTGTGGCTCAGCGGGGAAAGCCACCGCCTGTGGACACCAGCGTCCTAGGCAGGCACTCGTTCAAGTTCCAGCTGCTCTACTTCCAATACAGCTCCCTGCTAATTCTGAGACCATTTGGATCTCTACCTTTGTGCGAAGCCCCAAAGAAACCCTGGGCTCCTGGCTTCAGACTGGCTCAGCTCCTGCCAGTGTAGACATCTGGGGAGTGAACCAGTGGATATAAGATCTCTCTCTCTCTCTCCTCTTGTTTTTTTTTCCTGACCAGATGAGCCACATTATATTTCTTTCAAATGACTCTGCCCAAAAAAGAAGGTTAGGATCTCAACCATGTGGTCACTCCAGTGCCCATGGCTGTGCCCTGCAGAGTAAGTGGACATGGTAAACAAGTGTGTTGAACCGACAAAGATCCCAGGCTGTGGGTGTCACCTGAGCCTCCATCTACACTGCCATGGGACTGCAGACTCTGGGTTCTCCCATCATCCTTCTTATTCCCACCCCACACTCCCTGCCCTGGCTGCCCGACAGCAGGCCTCGGCTCTGCCTTTCTTTGCATTGCCTCCAACACAGAGGAGGACATGCAGCAGGCCATGCCCATTAGTGGGGTCGCAGCCTGTGCTGGGGCCCAGGGACCTACAGAACAGAGCAGACCTAGTCCAGGGGTCCGTAGGGCCGGTGGGGTACCCTTTTCTGGGGTCACACTCGTGGGCAGGGCAAAGGACGGGAGCCAGGCAGCTGCATGGATGCCCAGAAGGGGAGGCAAGGGGCCTGGGAGAGTTTGGTCCTTACTATTAACCAGCCAGCAGACTCTGACATGCATGGCCTGCGTCCCAGCTGAGAGGGTTCCAGCAGCAACAAGTGCAGCTGGCAAGGCACCTATGGCCTTCAGGCCTCGTGATGTGCTGCGGGCGGCAGGAGGGCATCAGGGGAGGAGGCCCCACGACCAGGCAGTGAGCCGGCCCCACAAGGCTTCCCAGGCTAAAAATAGTGGTGGCCACTGAGGAGGCCGAGCTCCGGGCAGGCTCTGACCCCGGCGCCCGTGGCTTCATGTCTGGTACCTCGGTGACAGCTCACCACAATCCTCCCCGGCAGGGCCTGTTCCATTGCACAGCGAAGGTAATCAAGGGGCTTGGCCCACGGTGGAGACAGTACAGCCTGTGAGTGGTTCGGTTGCAAAGCAAACCCAAACCAGTCCCAGAGACCGCTGGCAGACAGAGGTGGAGGAGCGAGTCATGCTCCAGCTCTGATGTGACCTGGGCCATGGGACCTGTGGACGAGGGAGCCATGTGGAGCCCCTCAGCCACCCAGGAGCCAGCTGCGGTGCAGGCTGCAGACCTAGCTGTGGCCCACCTCCTTGAACACATAGGAAGCCATGCAAGTCCACGACAGCTATTGGCCGGCCAGGGAGGCTGGGGCCGCTGCATCTGCAGAGCCCGCGTGGGCTCCCCGGTCCCCGGGAAAGGTGCTTCCTTCCACGCTCAGCCTGAAGGGTTGGCCGGGAGCTTCCCGGCTGAGGTCAAGGCAGGAAACCGCCGATCTCCCACTTCCTTTCCCTAGACACCTCGTGCTTGTCCGGTCTCGGCGCCCAGTGGGAAGGCTGTGATTCAAACTCCCCTGCCAGGGCAAAGCTGTCCCAAACACCGCTTTTCCCCAAGTGCAAGCAGGTGGGGAGTAGACACTAGCCCCATTTCCCCTGGAGCTGGCCTGCTCCGGGAAGGGATAAGAAAAAGGCAGGTGCCACTTCTCCTGGGGGAGGCTGGAGAGCAACGGCTCACATCACTGCTGGGGAACAGCTAAGCCCCTCACCTGCATCACCCCCCTAATTCTTGTAAGTTGAGGTGGTCCTACAACGCCAACACTGACAGGTGAGGTCACAGCACACAAGAGAGATCAGGTGGCTTACCCAAGGTCACAAAGCTACTGAAAGGTGAAAATGGAATGGGGACTCTGATCCCCTGGCTCTAGGTAGGTGCCAGGTGCCCCTGCTGGGCAAAAGTGGGCCCCAGGGGGTTAGCCTCCCTCCCTCTCTCTTTCCGAGTGCTCCCCTCCAGTGTGCTCTCTGTTTCAGCACAGATGCACGACCCCGGGGAGGGAGCCCAGCGCCGCAGAACCATCGCGTCCCAGCGGCCCCACTGCTCGGAGGGGCCAGACTGAGGCCGCCGCCCACCTTCTGATGTTTGCGCTCCTTCTCGATGCGGTCCATCCGCTCCAAGCGCAAGCGGTCCAGCTCAAGGCGCAGCTCGTCCAGCTCGGGCGCGACGTGGTGGCGGCTGACCAGCACCTCCAGGATCTCCAGGACGCGCACGACCTTGGGCATGAGGCGCGCGATGGCCTCGCAGCCGTGCTGGTCCACGACCCGCTCGAACTCGTGGCCCACGAGCGACGCGATGTCGTACACGTCCATGACGGTCAGCTCGGCCACGTTCTTCTCCAGCGCCGACTCGGCCGCCGGCTCCGACCCCAGCTCCTGCTCCATGGCCGCCCCGCGAACTAGTGCAACTCCTGAACTTGGCGTCGTGGGCAGCCGGCCCGGGCGCCCCGGCGCCGCCGCCCCGCACTCAGGGGGCCCGCGGGCGAGGGCGCGCCGGGCGGGCGGCGGCTCTGGGTGCCCGGCTCGGCCCCGAGCCTGCTCCCCGGTGGGGGCGGGGGAAAAGGAGGAGGAGGAGGAGGAGGGGAGGCGAGGAAGGCGCGCGCGTGCGCAGGCCCGCGGCGCCTCCCAAGTTGGGAATCTGAGTTGGGTGCAATGGAGGAGTAGGGCGCGCTGGAGAGGGGCTCCGCTGCACTCGGAAACGGTTCGCGCCCGGGGGCCGTCCCTGCGGCAGGGCTCGGGAGGAAGGGCGGCCCCCGGCTCCTCCGGGAAACTTTGGCGGCGGCGGCGAGGCCGGCGGACTGGCTTCCCCCGCAGGGATGCCGCGCGCCCCGCCCCGATCCCGGTCTGGCGTGGGGCGCACCGGCCTCCCGCTGTCCAATGGCGCCCTGAGGTCCCCACGGCCACGCGCAAGCACCGCCTGCTCGGCAGTCGCCCCCGGGCCTTACTCCCCACCCACCCTACAGTCCGCCGAGCCCTCGTCCCTCCGGGTCCCGGCTCCTCCCAGACCCGCCGCCCGGGAGGGGTCGAGGCTGGCCCGGGGGAGGGGGTGGGGACGGCCCGAGTCTCTGAGAGGAGGGTGGGGCTCGTCCTGGGGCGAAGGCAAGGACCCGGGCACCAGGGTGGCGCCAGGCCCTAGGCTCCTGGGCCGGCCGGGAGAGGGTCCGCAGCCTGAGCTCTGCTGCAGGCCGTGAATGTCACTTGTAGCGGGGCCGAGGCCGGGTCTTGTCCCAACTCCTTGTCCTTTGGCGTGTCCTCGGGACCCTTTGCCACTCCCCCAGGAGCCTAGTTTCTGCACCGCAGCTCATGGCCCTCCTCTGCGTGTCCACAGCTTTCCCTCCCGTCACCCCAGAGGCCTTTGCCATGTGACTGGGAGCTCCCCAAGGGTAAAAGCTTAAGTCCTCCGGGGTAAAAAGCTTAAGTCCTCCGGGGTTTCAAGTCTCACCCCTAACCTGGTACCTACCGCTTGATTTATCTCTTTAAGAAAGTTTAGGATACATTGAATATTTGCTTCACATTTAGCTAAAAAGAATTTAGTATAGTGCTTACACATGCCATCCATAGTCCAGGAACTTTACAAATATTGCCTCGTGTCATCTCCACTGCCATGCGTGGTCTGCTGGGGACCCCATACCTGAAGGGTCCGAGATGTAGCCCCCTTTACACTTATCATAGGCACGAGCCACAAGCATGGTTATTATTTTTAATTCAAAAAATATTTATGTTAACATGTGATGTTCCTAGCCTTTCTAAATGGTAGCTTTCCAAAGCATGTTTACAATTCTAATTATAGTAGCCAGCCAGAGACAACCTGCCTAGCAGAAAAGCTCTCTGCCGGTTCCGGTGGGCCGGGCGTTGTGGCATATCAGGTAAGCCTGCTTGGATGCCCACATCCCAGTGCCTGCTGGGGTTCCAGCTGCAGACGATGGGCCGAGTGCTGGGGTCACCTGTGTGGTAGACCCAGGTGGGGTTCCCCGCTTCAACCAGGGACAGGCATGGCCATCATGGGCATTTGGGGATGAGTGATCCCTCTGTGTCACTCTGCCTTCAAGAACAGGGGGGCAAAGGAGGGGTGTAAAGGGATCTTGAGACTAGAAAGCTCCAGAAACACTGCCTTATAGCATCCTAAGGGATAAACACTTTGAGGCACATGGGGTCAGCAGCTCGGGTCGTGCCCTGTTGCGCACAGGCACCTGCTCCTGGCTCAGCAGTTACATTAGCGTCCTGTAGCTACTGTGACAATTGGCCACAAACCTGGCAGGTTAAATCTCAGAAAACTGACTCTCTCACAGGCCGGAAATATCCCAAACCACGCACCAGGTTCATGACCACACCAACCCAGGCCCTGGATGACCTCACTGGCTCAAGGCTCTTAGTCACATCACAAGGACCTTTTTTTTCCTAGTAAGCTTACATCTGCATCACAGGCTCCGGGAACCATGGAGAGGATTTTCTTTTTGTAAGATTTATTTTTATTGGAAAGTCAGACATAGGATTCACTCCTCAAGTGGCCACAACGTCCAGGAGCCTGGAGCTTCTTTAGGATTTCCCACATGGGTGCAGGGTCCCAAGGCTTTGGGCTGTCCTAGACTGCTTTCCCAGGCCACAAGCAGGGAGCTGGAAGGGGATTGGGCCTCCAGGATTGGAATTGGCGCCCATACGGGTTCCTGGCATGTGCAAGGCGAAGACTTTAGCTGCTAGGCTACTGTGTTGGGCCCAGGGCTCAGGTTTTTTGTTTGCTTTTTGGAAGGTGGGAACTCACCATTCAATCTGCTACAGAGGGTCGGCTGTTTTGTCCCATACATGGGAGTTGAATTTAAAGAATAGATCTCCCAAAAGGTGAAGTTTGCTCTTTTTGTTTGTTTGTTTTGAGAGAGAGATGTGAAGCAAGAGCCAGATCGGTGTGCTGCTCATTTATTGGTTCAGTGCCCAGATGCCTTCGTGGACCAGGCCAAAGCTGTGAGCTGGGCACCCTGTCCAGCTGGGCCTCGTGGGCGGCAGGGAACCACACTCCTGAGCCTCCCAGGGTGCACATGATGTGGAAGCTGGCATCGGGTTCAACCAGGTACTCAACACATGGGACGCAGGTACCCAGTGGCAGCTGGACCTATGCCAAACACTGCCGTCAGCACGGATGGCAGCCCTGGAATCTACTTGTCGCTCCACCCTGTCCTGTGCCCAGAAGCTGATTCTGTGAATGGGATGGGTGCCGCCCTTCTCCGTGCTGGGTCCCCATAGCAACCCCAGTGGGAGACTAGAGACTGGAGGAGGGTGTACTGGGGTGCTGAGACCCCAGCTCCCTGTATTTTGGCCACTGCGACCTCCAGGCCAACGGAGGTGTCCACTCTGGTCCCTGTCTCAGGCCTGTCACTTCTCTCCCAGGCCAGAAGAGCTTCCTGCTATGGCTGACCCTGAGGTACTGCACCAGACACTGGCTTCTGGGTTGCCTTCTCCATAGCCACAGTGCATTGTATACAAGGGCTGGGTGCACTAACCCTAACAAGCTTCTCCATCGGTCCTACTTTGAATCTGCTTTTAAACTTTTTATTTGTTTTCGTTTTGTCTGTCAGAAGCAGACAGATTAAAAAACAGGGCTTCCATCTGCTGGTTATTTCCTCACATGGCTGGAGCAGGCTGAAGCCAGGAGCCTGAAACAATGCTCTCCAGTAGGGGGCCCTGTACCCCTGTGGCCTCTGCCTGCAGATATACAGGTATGGGAGGGGACTGCGGCTCCTGGTCCAAGTGGCTGAGCGTCCCCTGCTCCTCAGGGAGTGCCGTCCCATTCCCAGCTCTGCTCGCCAACAGTCCTTTCATGTGCCAGGCTCTGCATCTTGATTTCCCTGATGCTGGTGGGACGCCTGTCCACCAGCAGGGTGCTGGAGCGGGCACTGTGTTAGGATGATGACGGCATTCGAACTGCTAAGCTCCAGCGCCCTGCTGGTGGACAGGCGTCCCACCAGCATCAGGGAAGTTAAGATGGCATGGTAGAATGAGGGGCATTTGGTTGGGAATGACTGGGCAATGCTGGGCAGCAGCCGCAGTGAGCGGGGAAGGAGAGCTGCCCAGCATGCAGACACTCCTTGCGCTGGGGGCCACTGCGGCTGGGCAGGGCAGACAGAAGCAGTGAGTCTGTTCTGCTGAAGGAGAAGTCACTGCTTCCTGAAAACTCAGGCTTCGGGGGCCCAGAAACCACATGTGGGCCTGAGGGGGGACTTGGGAGCGCATGTCTGAGCTTGTGGGTTCCTGGGACCTGGGTGGCCAATAGGCTGCCACTGCTGCACCTGCCCCACTGCTGGGATTGCAGCCTGGACCCGGAAACCTGAAACTGCCGCGCGTGCCCACGCTCCTCCGCACATGCCTCCCTCCTGGCTTTTGAATGTATTTATTTACTTGAGAAGGAGAGGGAGAGAGTGAGCAAGTGAGAACGCTCCCCTCTGCTGGTTCAATTCGGAATGCCTGTCACAGCGAGGCACCAGGGACTCAACCCAGGTCTCCCAAGTGGGTGGCAGGAGCCTAATTCCAAGAGCCCCAGCACGGACGGCCTCCGCACAAAGCTGGAGTCCGGAGCTGGAGACAGAGACCAAACTCTGACACTCCCGTGTGTGTGTCTCAGCTATACGCCTGCTGATAGACAGTAGAGAGGTAGGTAGATAGATAGATAGATAGATTGATTGATACTTTATTGAAAGACAGAGTTACAGAGAGAGGGAGAGACAAAGAAATATCTTCCGCTGTTGGGTCACTCTTCAAATGGTCCCATTGTTTGAGGCTGGGCCCAACTTAGGTCAGGGGCTGGGGCTCCCACGTATGGGGGAAGGACTCAGACCACCCTCTGCTGCTTTCCTTGGCACCCTGGCAGGGAGCTGCATCAGAAGCAGAAGAGCCAGGAGTCGCACACTGCGCTACGGAATCTGACAGCTTGACCCCTGTGCCACATGTCAGCCCTGTATTTATATTCTCACGTGACATGTATACCTGTCACCTCAGACCTGTCCCTGCTCCGCCGGTGATTGTAGAGTGTTCATGGAACCCTCCATCGTGGCTGTTCTACCGTGGTGTAGGCCCTTGGAAGCTGGAGGCAGGCCTGCACCCCGAAGCAGCAGCTGCCCCGGCCCCCCTCTCAGACCCTCCTGACTTCTGTGGTTACTCCTCAGCTTCTTCGTTTCTTCTCCTCTATTTCCTCTTCCTCTTCAAGTGCTCATGGATCATTTTGAAGTCACCCTTGGCACCGTGCCACCCCTGAAATGTCACATAAGGCTCCTCTCTCTTGCACTGGCTGCTGCCTGGCAGCCCTCCACTCCCCCCCCGCCCGTGGCTCCCCCACTCCTGGCACTCTGAGGGAATATTAGATTCCCCAAGGTCCAGCCTGGGCAATGGAAAGATGAGAGCTTAGCACCTGGGCTGGAACTGCAACTGCATCAGGCACCCCCTGCATGCCAATGTGGCCCCTCCAGGAGGGCGTGAACTAGCACTCTGTTATTCAATTTTTTTTTTTTAAGATTTGTTTTTATTGGAAAAGCAGATTGACAGATAGCAAGAAAGATAGAAAGATCTTGTATCTGTTTGTATCTGTTGGTTAACTCCCCAAACGGCTGCAATGACTGGAGCTGAGCTGATCCAGGAGCTTCTTCTGGGTCTCCCATGTGGGTGCAGGGTCCCAGGGCTTTGGGCCATCCTCCACAGCTCTCCCAGGCCATAAGCAGGGAGCAGGATGGGAAGTGGAGCAGCCGGGACATAAACTGGCACCATATGGGATCCTTGAGTCCTCGAAAGGTGAGGATTTAGTCATTGAGCCACTGTGCCAGGCCCTCAGTAGTCTGGCTGTAGTCCAGAGCGGCGCGTGCTCATCTGCCTCACTGCTGGGATTGCCCAGCTCTGTGTTTTGCAGTCGCACCATAATGTAACACATCATTGCTCCCTTGGTGGCCATTGGGGATCTCTCCTTGTCTGAGCTATGTTAAACAATGTTGCTGTGCAAACTGACACTTAATTTCCAGTTTGCTCTACTTCCTCCAAAGTGGCCACATGTCACACCCTCAGGGGAGCCCTCCTGCCTACCTGTAAGTCCGGCTCACTAGAGGAAGTCTGACTGGGAGATGCTGGTGTGAGCTGGCAGCTCCACCTCCTCTCCCTCAGCCACATGAGGTGCTTTCAAGGCGAGGACTTTAACTGCTAGGCCACCGTGCAGGCTCAAGATTTATTTATTCTTATTGGAAAGGCAGATTATTGAAAAAGAGAGACAGGGCCTGGCGGCGTGGCCTAGCAGTCTAAGTCCTCGCTTTGAATGCGCCGGGATCCCATATGGATGCTGGTTGTAATCCCGGCAGCTCCACGTCCCATCCAGCTTCCTGCTTGTGGCCTGGGAAAGCAGTCAAGGACGGCCCAAAGCCTTGGGACTCTGCACCCGCGTGGGAGACCTGGAGGAAGTTCCTGGCTCCTGGCTTTAGATTGGCACAGCACCGTCCGTTGTGGTCACTTGGGGAGTGAATTATCAGACAAAAGATCTTTCCTCCTCTCTGTATATCTGACTTTGCCATAAAAAAAAAAAAATCTTAAAAAAACAAAAAGAAAGAAAAGGAGAGACAGGGAAGGTATAATTAGTTGAGTGATCCCACCAGGCCCAAAATAAATCAATTTTTTAAAAAGGAGAGACTTCTTGCTCTCATTTCCTTCTGTGAGTGTGTGTGTGTGCGTGAAAGAGAGAGAGAGAGAGAGAGAGATTGCAAAGGATACTTTGAAATGCTGAGCAATCTGGGGCTTGTCCAGGTCCACGTGGCCTGGACAACCGCTATTCCTCTGCAAGAAACATCTCACTTCCCTTTGAACTGCACAGCTCCGTGCACCCTGCCCACCCTGCCCACCCTGCCCATCCTGCCCATCCTGCCTTCCAGGTTGGCATCTGATTCACCACCCACGAGTCAGCCTCTCCCAGCTGAGTGTGCCGACCCAGGACGGCAGCCAGCCAGCACCTGGTGTTGACTCTGGGTGCCCCGGAAGATGAGTGTGAGCTCAGCCCACCTTCTCAGAGCTCTGTCCACCGTTACACTCTGCTCAGTTCACTTTCCTTGGTTGAGACAGAATTGGTTCCCATTGCTTTCAACCAGAGCAGTCCATTAACACAGCCCCAAGCCTGTGGGCGTCCGGGCTGTTTGGAGTCACGGCTTGGAGATGCCACTTCTTTGCCAGCAGGATGCTTCCCTCCCCTGCCGCCTCGCCTGCAGGGCACAGCAAGCTTCTCTCTAGGGGGCCAGTTCACAAGCATTTTACATTTTTTTTTTTTTAAAAAGGCTCATTTGAAATGCCAAGCTATAGAGAGAGGGAAAGAAAATGAGAGATCTTCCACCTGCTGGTTCACTCTCCAGATTGCTGGGATGGCTGGAGCTGGGCCAGGCTGAACTCTGCAGCCTGGAAACCCATGCACAGTAAAACGTGGCAGGACCAGCAAGACCTTTCCTGCTGCCCCACTTTGCACCCAGTTCCTTGTCTGCTCCCACCCACCCTCCTTGCCATCACATGCTGGAATCCACTTGTCTTCACACGGCAGCTGATTGGCTCTTGTAGTGCCCACTGTCTTCCTGGCCCCCTGGCTGGTGTCACCATCTGGACTTGGCTTGGGGGAAAGGGGAGCCACCTCTGCCCCATGCAGGCCATGTGGCTTTGGGTCCCCAGCGCTTCAGGGGTGCTCTGTTTCTCCTCTGGCCACAGGGATTAGGGGCAGCAGGTGAGTCCTGTTGGGGCACTTTGGTGGAAGCAGTGACGAGTATGGGCCGCCTTTGCTCTGGGATTATGAGGCTGTGGGCTGCAAAGCCCTGGATATGTTATCATCTTTTCAGCTATGGCAAGGAAGACAGCTCCCCACAGCTCCCTCAAGGCGGGAGGGAAGACAGAGAGAGCGCCCTTGACCCTGGGTTCTTTACACCTTCTGGCTTGAGCCCAGGCTGAGCGTGTCCAGCCCAGCCATCCAGGACCTCACACACGCCCCCTGGCGGGGTAGGGGGAGAGGACACCCGGGACAGGCGACCCTAGGCCCAGCCTCTGCCTGGGCTCAAGATCTTCTGCTGCCTGGCTGCACCGGCTGGGCTGGTCCTACCGGAACAGCACAGCTCTGCCCTAATTCTGTGTTTCAGCATCCAGAACCACCATCAGGACTGCCACCTTACCCATGCCTTCCTAGAGGTTACATCTGTGGTTTGGTTACTAGTGTGTCGCTGTTATTAGCTTATTAAAGATTGATTTACATATTTCAAAGGCAGAGTGATAGAGAAAGAGAGAGAGAGAGAGTATCTTATCTTTGTCCTGCCGTTTTATCCTCCCAGATGGACCAGGCTGAAGCCAGGAGCCTGGAACTCCATTGGGTCTCCCACATGGGTGCAGGGCCCCAAGTCCTTGGCCCATCACTTCTTCAGGGCCCTGGATCACAAGCAGAGCTACTTTTTAGAAACACACACACCCTGTCTATGCATTTGTAAAAGGTAGAACTGAGGGGCCGGTATTGTGACTCCTGACGCCTCATGTGCATAACGGTTTAACCCTGGCTGTTCCATTTCCCATCCAGCTCCCAGCTTGTGGCCTGGGAAAGCAGTGGAGGATGGCCCAAAGCCTTGGACCCTGCACCTGTGTGAGAGACCTGGAAGAGCTCCTGGCTTCAGACTAGCCCAGTTCCTGCTGATGGGACCATTTGGAGAGTGAAGCCGCAGACAGAAAATTCTAACTCTGCCTTTTGAACGAGTAAATTGAAGAAAAAAAGGAATGGTATGTATTTATTTAGGCACAAGACAGGTGCTTCCAGTGGCCACATCTTTCGCATTGCCTACTGCTTAAGTAGGAAACTCGGGCATCTGAGTATGGGCCATGAGATCGATAAAATCCCACGATACGAAATTGATCACTTTCCACCGAGACGCTTGGCATCCCGGAGAAATCAAGCCAGAAAGTTCGAAAGTGAACGTGCAACTTGAAGTTCTACCAAGTAGGCAGGTTCCCACGGCGAGCGAGGCGGGAGGACGGGTCGCGCCCGCAGCGGGGGCAAGGGGGACCCTCCGCCAGCCTGAGCCCTCCGTGCCCGTCCGCCTGCGGGCTGAGGGAACCGCGTGCTGGGCGAGCCGAGGGCCGCTCGCGATGGCCGCTGAAACAACCTCGAACACAGCCGTGTGGCGGCGACACTTGGAGCTCTGTGGAGACGCGACTTTGGGGGAACGTGATTTGGGAGGGGGGGACAATGTGGAAAGCGGTCAAGTGTGTTTGGGGACGCCTCCTGAGCCTCAGAGTCCCCCATGGCAGCCTGCACCCGCCATTCGCGTCCTCGTCACGTCATCGTCCCCACCGTCCCCGGCGCTTGTTTCCGAGGGAACAGGCCGGGGACGGCCCGGGTTGGCCTTTCCGCGCTGCCGCCCGGCCCGGATGCGCGCGCGGCCCGCCTGGCCCTCGCCGGCCGCCGTGCGTCCGTTACGTGGCGGCCCCGGCGGCGGCCAATGGGCGGCGCCCGCATCAGCCTCGCCGGGCGGCGGCGGCGGAAGGGGCGGAGCGGCGGCGGCGTCCGAGCGGCGGTGGAGGCCGCAGTCCCGGTCGCGGCCTCGGCCCCGGAGCCACCATGGTGACGCCCGCTGAGCTGCTGGTGCTGCTGGCCGCGCTGCTGGCCACGGCCTCGGGCTACTTCGTCAGCATCGACGCGCACGCCGAGGAGTGCTTCTTCGAGCGGGTCACCTCGGGCACCAAGATGGGCCTCATCTTCGAGGTGGCCGAGGGCGGCTTCCTGGACATCGACGTGGAGGTGCGGGGGCGCGGGCGGCGCGGGCTCCCGCCCCGGGACGCCCCAACGGCCGTCACCCGGCGGGCCCGTCCTGGAGAGGCCGCGCTGCCCCGGGTCGCCCTGGGCCCCCGCGAGGCGTTGGAGTTCACGTCGGGACGCGCGCGTGGCGCGGGAGCGGCCGAGCTGGGCCTGGCGGGAGGGAGACAGGCGTTTGGGATCGGCTCCGTGGAGCCCGTCGGAGCACACCCGGCGTCCCTGATCGCCCCCCAAGTCCGTTTCTTTAAAAGCGATGACCTGTCCCCACGTTTCTCTCGCCTGAAACCAGGTGGAGTTGCTACGTGGGCTCACCTGTTCACTTGCAGGTGTGCCTGTCGGGGCCTCAGGCTGGGCAGTGGCCCCGCCGAGAGGGTCAGCTGCGCCTTTGCCAGTGACAGTTGCTGCCTGGGTCATTCCTAAACGTCCAGTCTGGGTCTTTAGCCCCGGGGCTTCTTGGATAAAACCAGACTCCTAGTTTGACAATAACCAGGGCAACCTTAAACATGGACCAGAAGAGTCTGTGTCCCTTGGGTTTTGATGGCAGTGGCTGATGTGCTGTGTTGGGGTTGGGGTGAGGGTGGCAGAGGGAGGGAGAGGTGCCACTTCTGTGGGAGGGCGTTTGAGTTCTTTTAAATTAAGGATTTATGTAGTGAGTGGAGCTGAGCAGGTCCAAAGGCAAAAGTGTCCCCCCCTGGCTCGTCCACCTGGGTCCTCCGCCTGTGTCCAAGGCTTTGGACCATCCTCTGCTTCTTTCCCAGGCCATAATATGGCAGCTGGATGGGAAATGGAGCAGCCAGGACATGAAATGGTGCCCATATGGGATGCCGGCACTTGCAGGTGGAGGATCAGTCAGCTGAACCATAGTGCCAGCCCCTGGGATTTGGGTGGAAATTGGACAGGCAGGTCCGAGGTGTAGTGGGCGCTGATGGGAGCCTTAGAGAGCTGTGTAACCCCCGTTTGCATTGGTTGGGAGCGTGTGGGGGCACTGTTGTCTGGTCCCCACTGCAGTGGAGCTGAGGGCGCTGCGGGTGGACACCGCTGGCGCGCACAGGGAGAGTGTGCTCTGAGCTTTCACATCTTCTCCCACCTGCAGATCACGGGCCCTGACAATAAAGGGATTTACAAAGGAGACCGGGAATCCAGTGGGAAGTACACCTTCGCTGCCCACATGGACGGCACCTACAAGTTCTGCTTCAGCAACAGGATGTCCACCATGACCCCCAAGATTGTCATGTTCACCATCGACATCGGGGAGGCCCCGAAAGGACAGGACATGGAGACAGAGGGTGAGGCGGCCTCGGCTGCTGTGCCTCCGCAGCCGCCAGCTTCCGGACCTTCTGGCCTTCGGTGCAGCACTGCTTGGCTTCTTTAAAAGCTGTTTTTTTTTTTTTTTTCTTTAAGGTTTATTCATTTTTATTGGGCAGATTTATAGAGAGAAGGAGAAGCAGAACGATCTTCCACCCTCTGGTTCATTCCCCAAATGGCTGCAGCAGCCGGAGCCGAGCTGACCTGAAGCCAGGAGCCAGGAGGTTTTTTCCAGGTCTTCCATGTGGGTGGGGGACCATGGCCTCGATGCGTCCTCTGCTGCTCTGCCAGGCCATGTAGGCTGTGAGCGGGGAGCTGGGTGGGACGTGCAGCGGCCAGGCCGTGAACCGGTGCCCGTGTGCCCGTGTGCCCGTGTTCGGTGCCTGCACCACAGCAGAGGATTAGCCCACACCTTGGCCTCACAACTTATTTTTAAAACCACGTATAATTTGTGAATGCCAGTTGCTCCCCAGCGAATCTCCTGGCTGACAGAGAAGTTTCTTCTGGAAGTTGATGCTTGCTCTCCTTCCTCATGGGTGCCCTTTCTGGCAGCTTTTCTGAGTCACTTTGTGCTGGCCCAGATCTGGGTTATGTGGGTCTTAGTGGGTCCTGTTAATTTCCTATTGTTAGTAGATGCCTCTGTTGGCTCACTGTGCACATGACTGGTCTAGCTAAACTTTCTGGTTTTTTTTTTGTGTGTGTGTGTGTTCTGTATCTTGTACTTCTCCAGGTGGTGGCGATACCTGGGACGGTATGTGGCCCCGGTGGCTTTTTGACATCACGCTGTTTGCCTGTGTCTAATTTCTGCTTTTTCCTAACTTGGTTTGTTGGCAGGAGTGTGTTCCTTTTGTTTTTTTCTTAAGCCCTGCAACTAATGAGATTGATTGAACTAGAGTTAGGGTATTGCTAAGAACTCAGTGGTTGGTGCTTTGCTAGTGAGTAACATTGTTGGTTCTTCAGAATGACAGCTGGCTGGTGGCTTAGGAATGTCTTCATTAAACATGGCTAATTGCAAATGGTGCTTTGGTAGAACTAATACTCCGGGTTTGTCATTGAAGTGTTCAGCTTGTGGCTTGACTGGATTGAAGTGCAGTTGCAGGAGCCGTGTGCAAATAACTGTGAAAAAGTGCTTTGAGCCACGTGTTGCACATAGGTTGTTTATTATTCCACTGAGCAGCCATGAACCTGCTTGCTGCTTGGTATGCTGCTTGCCAAGAGCCAGTGTGCGTGCGTGTGTGTGTTTTAGTGAGTGTATATGTAAGGGAGTGTGTGTGTGTGTGTGTAAGGGAGTGTGTGGGTATGTGTTGTGTGTGTGTGTGTTGGGCCACAGTATGTGCTGGGAGTCTTTGGAACGGGTAGCTGCTGAACACACCCGGCAGTGTTAGCATGATCATGTCTGTCTAAGAGACTGAGAAATTAGTAACATGATGACATCATGAGGAAGGTGAAGTGATTGTTTTCCAATCTGTAGAATGGGATGGCTTGTGCTGTTTGGTGATTCATTTTTGGACCACATATAGGGCAGGACTTGGCTATGCTCCAGCAGCAGTAGGTGTTTCAGAGGGTGGAGTGTTTGCTTGTTTTCTGAAAGTTGGTCCTGGTTTCTGACCTCTTAAATGGTTGGGACATATTGGCCAATGAGTGTGAATATTGGTTGAGTGAAGTTGAGCCCCAGGACCGGGGGTGGGGTGGGGTGGTGAGCCGTGGTGCCACCCTGAGAACCCCTGCTCTCAAGGTTGGCGCAGTGCAGGCGTCTTGCAAGATTTCCGTTGCCTGCCTTAAATAACAGGTGGCTCTTGGATGCTCTGAGAGGATTAGGATTGTTGGGGTGTGAGTGTGGCCCCCAGGGGCGCCCTCCTGTGGGCCTGGGACGAGAGATTCCTCCCCTTCCTGAGGCTTGATGCAGCGTTTCCTGCCAGCTTCTTGGTTGTTGAAGTGCGCTCTTAGAACAGTGCTGTGTTTTTGTGTTTCACAAGGTTACAAGTGAGTTCCTTTGAGAGTCAGACGGGGCTCCCACCCCTGGGCTGTGTTCTTAGTGCCCGGCAGGGCTAGGGCGGGAGCCACAGCTCATGCCAGCTCTGCCAAGTGGGTGGAAGGAGCCCAGTCGGTTGAGCCCTCCCTGCCTCCCAGGGTCCGTCGGGAAGGCGGGCCCAGGGGCAGGAAGGGGCTTGTTGGTCTCGCGCAGCCCCTTCCTGCCACACCGCATGCCAGGCCCCTCAGGTTGGCTGAGTGCTCCAGTGGGTGAGAACTTGTCTCTGGGGCAGCGCCTGCTGCTCCCCCGGGTGGGATCCTTGCTTTGGCCTAGAGTGAGTGAGTGAGTGTGGGTTTTGCCGGATGTCACTTCTGCTCAGCTTTGGCAGGTTTAAAGGTCGGCTCTGGGGCTACTTGTAAATTAACAGAATTAGCATGGTTCTTTGGATTTGATTGAGTGTTGAAGTTATGGGATTTAGATTTTAAATGCATACGTAATTACTATAAAATATTGGAAAACTAAATTAAAAGAAAAGTGTTATTGTGAACTCCCTGTGCACCTGCTGGGCCCCCCCCCCCGGTTTTTTTTAAGATTTATTTACTTTTAGTTGGAAAGTCAGATTTATAGAGAGAAGGAGACAGAAAGATCTTCCATTTGCTGGTTTACTCCCCAAATGGCTGCAACAGCCAGAGCTGGGCCAGCAAGGACCAGGAACTTTTTCCAGTCTCCCCGTGGATGCAGTGGCCCAAGGACTTGGGCCATCCTTTGCTACTTTCCGAGGTACCTTAGCAGGGAGCTGGATTGGAAGTGGAGTAGCTGGGACTGGAGCTGGTGCCCATTTGGGAAGCCAGCACTGCAGGTAGAAGCTAGCCTTCTGTGCCAGGGCACCGGCCCCTGGAAATGAACTTTAAAAAATGCTTTGGGAATGAAATTGTCACCGGTGCCTCAGCAGTGATCCATATCGATGCATGAGCCGTCAGTACGTAGTTCCTTTTACGTGCCTCTCTGAGTAATGCTTTTATTGTGAAATGAACATTTTCTGCCGAGAGATTGTCAAGTATGTGCTAACTTGTTTTGTGGTGTTTCTGCAGCTCACCAGAACAAGCTAGAAGAAATGATCAACGAGCTGGCAGTGGCCATGACGGCCGTGAAGCACGAGCAGGAGTACATGGAGGTGCGGGAGCGCATACACAGAGCCAGTGAGTCTGCGCGTCCTCGCTGCCTTCTCGCCGGCCACGGGGGCTTAGCATCTGAAGGGCACAGCTGCAGACGGAGGACAGAGATGTCTTCCATCCGCTGGTTCACTTCCCACACGGCCAGCAGTGGCTTCGCCTGGACTGGGCCAGGAGCCTGAAACCTCAGCTGGGTCTCCCATGCTGGTAATGGGCTCAGGTGCTCGGACAATCTTCTGCTATTTTCCCATGTGTATCGGTAGCTGGATTGGAAGTGGAGCTGCTGGAGTTTGAACTGGTGTCCATATGGGAAGACCGCATTTGTGGGTGGTGGCTTCATCTACTGCAATGATAACCCCGCAAGTCTGACCTTAAGAAAGCACTTGTGGAAGAGTATTTTCTAAGAGCGTGCATTTGCAAAGCATTGCACTGAGTTACGGTGGCTTTTCCTTGCCAGCTCACTGGGGACACCCTGAGGGAGTGTGGGGAGTGACCCAGCAGGTGTGACACGTTTAGCTCTGCGTTTCACATAGGTGAGAGAGAAGCGTGAGCAGGCGGAGTGCTGGCCCGAGTGCCCGTTGTTAGTGTGAGCTGTTCTGGGGGTACCTGTGTCATCAGCAGGCTGCAGACGGTTAGCTTTTTGGTCTGTGCCCAAGACGTTCCATATTTTGAAGCATTTTAGTTTTGGACTTTAGAGAATTTCAGGTGTCAAACAATTGAAATGAGGTTGTTGAACCTATGGCAATCTACAGAATTGAAATTTTGTATTTAGCTTAATCATGTCAAGCAAATGACTCCCAGTGTTTTTTTTTTTTTAAACCAAGAAAAAATTTAAAGATTATTTATTTACGTGAAAGGAGCATTACAGAGAGAGAAGAGACAGTCCGTCTGTTCATTCCCCGAGTGGCCGCGCTGCCAGAGCTGGGTCTGTCCAGATAGGAGCCAAGAGACTCTTGAGCTGGGTCTGCCACGTGGGTGCAGGGGCGCAGGCACTTGGAACATCTGACTACTTCCCAGTCGCATTAGCATACAACTGGATCGGAAGTGGTGCAGCCAGGGCTCAAATTGGTGCCCACGTGGAATGCTAGGACCACAGGTGGCGCTTCTTATGCTGTGCCACGGCCTTGCCTGCACCAGTGTTTTTGTGCGTCTCCCTGCAGCCCGCACTCCTCAGCGATGCGCGCTGTGAGCCCTGTGTGCCCCAGTGTAAGCAGGTGCATTGCAGAAGCTGTCTTATAGTCAGGCCTTCCTGGCTGGCTGCCTTGGTGGGCTGCTGTGCCGCAGTGTCCTCTGCCTCCACTGCCCTGTGAATGGAAGCTTAATGGCACCATAGCAGGTGCAGGGTCCCAAGGCTCGGGGCTGTCCTTGACTGCTTTCCCAGGTCACAGGCAGGGAGCTGGGTGGGAAGCAGGGCTGTTAGGACATGAACTGGAGCCTATAAGGGATCCTGGCACATTCAAGGCAAGGACTTTAGCTGCTAGGCTACTGTGCCAGGCCCAATAAATATTTTTTTATATTCAGCAATAAGAGACTGTGGTGCTGGCTTTGTAGTGTGTGCAGTGAAGCTGCTGCTTGCAACACCAGCGTCTTGTATGAGTACCGCCTTGAGTTCCGGCTGGTCTGCATCCCATCCATCTTCCTGCTGATGTGCCTGGGAAAGCAGTGGAGGACAGCCCAAAGCCTTGAGACCCTGCACCCACATGGGAAACTCAGAAGAGGCTCTTGGCTTTGGCTGAGCTTCGGCCATTGCGGCCACTTGTGGCGTGAATCAGCAGATGGAAGATCTTCCTCTTTGTCTCCTCTCTGTAAATCTGATGAAAAGTTTTTGAGGTATTTATTGAGCCATTTATTAGACATAGTGCCAAAGTGGGTCATTCAAGTTATGCTAGAAGTTGGTTACTAAGTTCTTTTGCTAAAGATTTAGTAGAAGTAAACTCTGTATGATGAAATTATCACTAAAATTTCAGTTTTTTGTGTGGTTTTTAGAATTGTAGTTTATGTTTTCGGCAAATGTCACCTTTGAGTAAGATAACTATTTGGAAGCGTGGGAAATGCTTCACTCCCTATTGACCATTTGTTCGCAGTATTGCAATCCAGCGGCCCCAGTCCCTTAGCCATTAGGAATGTAGTTGATCTTTTTATAAATGGTGGATCTATTTCAGAGCAAGCAGCTACTTATTTATTTGACTAATATTGTTATTATACTTGTATTGCTAATTTTAGTGGTATTGCTAATTTTTACTAGTTGGCAATTTTCATAAAAATCTGGAACTATATCATTTTAAAAAATGAAGGCTGTAGATTTGATCAGGAACTTGAGAGAGTGAGGCGAATTAAGCAGAGGAAGCTGACAGAGCGCAGGCATGACTGGCACGCGTTGGGTCTTGAGCCTGGCGCTTGTCTGCCCCGTGGTAATTAACTCCCAGGTGGCTCCGTGGACCCCGATGCCCTCTGGCGCGGTCACACTGACACACTCTGTCTGGGTACATAGTCCCTAGGTAACTGTCAGCTTGAAATGATCTTTAATTTTTTAAAGTCCATTTTCTGATGGTGCCAAAAAAGGATGATGGTGTGGGATGCTTCAAGGATGAGGTTTGTGAGTCTCACTTTCTGTCCCTGGAAAGCCATGATCCTCTTCCTGCACGTGCCGAGTGGGACAGCACTTCGGGCCGAGCGTGCTGCGTGGGCGGGCTTCACCTGGAGACTTTCCTTTGGGGAACTGTCACTAAGCTCTGTTTGTCTGTCCTCCACAGTCAATGACAACACCAACAGCAGAGTGGTTCTCTGGTCCTTCTTCGAGGCTCTCGTCCTGGTGGCCATGACGTTGGGGCAGATCTACTACCTGAAGAGATTCTTCGAAGTCCGGAGGGTGGTCTAGAAGGCCTTTCCCGAAGATGCCAGAGTGGTCACTCACTGTTTACCACACACCTTGGTCCTATGATGTCATTAGTTTCTGATTTTATTTTCGGAACTGTACATTCACGGCTTACGTTTTCGTTGTGATGAGTAAATAGATAGTGGGGGAGAAACACCTTTTTAAGAAAGTTACAGTGAAATCTGAATTTTGATTGGCATGATTTGTTATGTGACTGCTGCTTTCATGCTACAAGGTCCTGTTAGAACGCAAACCCTGTGTGTGTGAGAGAGGGCAGGCTTTGCCAGCTCTTGTCTCTCTTCCCAGTAAGTTGCAGTTTTGTTGAGGCAGCGGCACAGTGCCCATTAGTGCCTCATGAAGTGGCCGCGTGCTGGGTCACCCTGCGGCTCCCGTCAGTAACGGTCTGTTTGGTGAGCTCCTGCCTCTGGTACCTCGGCCCTGCCGGGGCGGGCTCCCTCTTCAGAGCGCGGATCCTCCGACACATAGCCCCCCCCCCGTTTTTAACATTGAACCTCAGGCTTGTCGCCTCCATGTAAATTGATGACAAAAGCAGCTGATTTTCTGGTTTCTGCCTCACCTTGTCAGTCGCTCCCCAAGCCAGCCCTCCAGGTGTTTCTGCCATGCCAGCTTCCCCTCCTGTGCAGGCGCGTCCACTGTCGGCGCCCATGTGACGGGAGGACCTGGGCTTCTGATGTCACAGGGTTATGTTTGGTTGCTGTGACATACAGCCACTGTTGATTCTTCATCAGTGACCTTTCGGGCCACTGTAACTAGGGCACTGGACACCAAGTCCACTCTAGGGGTTTTTTTTGTTTGTTTCTTTTGGGCTTTTTTTTTTTTGGCACATGTGAATTTCGTTTTGTATAGAATGGAATAACTTCCTCTTCAATCTCTGATGATGGGTTTCAGATTTAAGGAGCATCGGTTGTCGGTACAGGAGCGATCCAGGATTATGTTGTGACTGATGTATATTAGTTACTTGTACATTTCTTTTGGATCTTTGCAAGGGAAAAACTATAACAAGTTTTATATAATTAATTTAAATTTGTTACAGGTCTCCATGTTGAAGACACTTTCCCACCTTGGGTGACAACACCGTGCAACAGTGCATTGAGAAGGTGACCTTTTCACCTTAGAATGACTGTTGCCAGTTTTGTGTGTGTGTGAAAACACTTCAAAATTGAATTAAAAGATGTAAATTTAAAATTGGTTGTCTAACTAATATGCCCCAGGTTCAGTAAATAAACAATTCTTTTTAAAAATGGTATTCTGTATTTTATATATCAGTGTTGACCAATTCATACTGTTTGGATACCAACTTTTTTTTTTTTTTTGGTAAGTCTTGTTCTTTTATTGCAAAATCAGATTGACAGAGAGAAGATAAGACAGACCTTCCATCTACCTGTTCGCTCCGCAAGTGGCTGCAACAGCCAGAGCTGAGTCAATCTGATGCCAGTAGCCAGGAGCCTCTTCCAGGTCTCCCACGCAGGTGCAGGGTCCCAAGGCTTTGGACCGTCCTCAACTGCTTTCCCAGGCCACATGCAGGGAGCTGGAAGGGACACAAACTGGCACCCATATGGGATCCCAGTGCTCATTAGGCAATGGCTTAAGCTGTTGGGCTACTGCGCCGGGCCCCCATTTTTATTACCTGGGAGACAGGGATGGATTGGGGTCCCTGTCACCATAACTGCCTGCAGTGGGTGAGGCTGGCGGGGCTGCGGGCTTGGTGGGTGTCTGCCCAGCGGTCACCTGCAGCTGGCTCCTCAGACCCTCCAGAGTGGATGCCGCTGCCCGGCCAATTCCTGTCGGGAGACCGGCACCTGTTTTCAGGGTGTCTGCCTGTTCTGTGTGGAAGTTCATCCCTTGTAAACTGAGAACGGTCAGGAGCGCTGTTGCAGTTTCTGCATGGAATTCCTCTTGTGGGTTCATTGGTGTTTTACACCTCTTTTTAATTTGGGAAAAGTGTATTATTTGCTCTCACTGTGTCAGGGCCGTCGTGGCGTCAGGGGAGTGCGGCTTTGGGATCCCACGGCGCCTGCGTGACCGCCGGGCTGCGGGGCACCGGAGGCTGGGGTGGGATGTGAGCTGTGAAGCGGGAGACATCTCGGCCTCTCCAGTCACTTCTTTATTTCAGCTCCAGTCCTCCCGGATGCCCTCAGCAGCGGCACTCCCGCCTGGGCAGCGGAGCCGTCCAGCCGCGGCGGCGGGAAGGCGGCCACCCAGGCCGGCGGTGCTGCCGTGACCCGCGGGCCCGCGTCCCCTTGGGGCTGGCGGACGGACGGGGCGGCTCCGCCGGCCTCCTCCCCGCTGACCTTCCCGGCCGGGCCGCGCGAGCGCTGGGCGGCCCCGGAAGCTCGTCGTCGCGCATTCCCGCCCGGCCCCGCGCTGCCGGAAGCGGAAGCGTTCCCCGCGGTTCCCGGCGCATGTGGGGGGCGGCTCCCGCCATGGAGCACGTCACGGAGGGCTCGTGGGAGTCGCTGCCGGTGCCGCTGCACCCGCGGGTGCTGGGCGCGCTGCGGGAGCTGGGCTTTCCTTCCATGACGCCGGTGCAGGTGAGGGCCGGCCAGGTGGGGCGGCGGGTCGGGCCTGCCTCCTCCGGCCGGGGAGTGTGGCTGCTCCCTGGCGCGTGCTCCGGACTTCTCCCCGGGACGACGAGGACGTCCATCACCTCCTAGGGCTGCTGTGGGCGCCTGGCAGGAGACGGCGTGTCCGGCGCTGCAGGTCCTGGGGATGCTGTGCGCCTGGCACCTAGCCTAAGGGCAGAGCTAGAGGAAGAGGAGCCCGGGGGTTCAGCTGGTGGCAGGAGGAAGGAGCAGAACAGCTGATGTGAGGCCCGTGCCCGAAGGAGGGAGCTGCAGCCGGCTGTGGGGTGACCGGGACCAGGACAGGTGCATGCGGCTGGCTGGGCCTGGGCCGTTAGCCGCGGGGAGAAGCCGAGTGTGTTGCGTGGTGTGCGGAATGTGCGACGCGGGGCGGGCGTTGCGGGGATGTAGATGCTGTGATGAGAGCGGCAGGATGCCAGTTCTGTGGGAAGCCGAGTACGAACAAGAGGGGGACGAGTACGGGGCCCCACCGGCGGGCGAGGCAGTCGGTGATGGAGGGGCCCCGTGGAGGGTGTTGGCCGAGTTGCTGAGGGACTGGAGCCTGGTTAATGAGAGAGGGTCCCTTCAGTGTCATTGTGTCAGCTGGGTGGATGTGTGAGCCGTTTACGGAGCCGAGGAAGCTGTGAGGGACCCCAGGGTTCAGGGGAAAGGCAGAGAGTTGTGTTTGAAAATGTTGAGTGTGCCCAGCGTGGAGGCAGCGGGTGCAGGGGAGATGAAAGCTGGGAGCGGTGAGGGCCATGCTTTGGGCAGGCAAGCGCGACCCAGACCCGGCAGCCACTGGGGGTGGTGAGAGCTGCTGTTGAGCAGCCAGTGTGACCTGGACTGGACCTCATCCTGGGGTGGTGAGGGCCATCCCTTAAGTAGGCAATGTGACCCGGATTGGGGCAGCCACCAGAGCTTGTCCTGGGGTGCTAAGTGCCCGCCTTGGGTGGGCAATGTGACCTAGACTGAGGCCTGCCACTGGAGTTGGTCCTAGAGCCCTTCCCAGCCACATGGGGCTACTGGGCCGTGGACGTGTGCTCAATTCCTGTAAGTAGCACCCTGAATTATTATGTTTTAATTTATATACATATTTTTAAAGATTTATTTATTTTTATTACAAAATCAGATATACAGAGAGGAGGAGAGACAGAGAGGAAGATCTTCCGTCCGATGATTCACTCCCCAAGTGAGCGCAATGGCCAGTGCTGCGCCAATGCAAAGCTAGGAGCCAGGAACTTCTTCCAGGTCTCCTACACGGGTGCAGGGTCCCAAAGCTTTGGGCTGTCCTCAACTGCTTTTCCAGGCCACAAGCAGGGAGCTGGATGGGAAGTGGAGCTGTTGGGATTAGAACCGGTGCCCATATGGGATCCTGGCAGGTTCAAGGCGAAGACTTCAGCCGCTAGGCCACACTGCTGGGCCCCTGAATTATTTTTTAAATTTATTTTTATTGGAAAGATAGAAGCAGATATACAGAAAGGAGATATAGAAAGATCTTCCTACCACTGGTTCACTTCTGCATTGGCCACAATGGCCAAAGCTTGGCTGGTCTGAAGCCAGGAGCCAGGAGCTTCTTCTGGGTCTTTCATGTGGGTGGTTGCAGTGGCCCGAGGTTTTGGACTGTCCTCTCCTGCTTTCTGAGACCACAAGCAGGGAGCTGGAAGTGGAACAGCTGGGACTCCAACTGGTGCCCATGTGCGATGCTGCTGTTGCAGGCAGAGGCTTAGCCCAGTGTGCCGTAGCACCTGCTCTGGGTTCACATTGTATTTCTGACGGACAGCCGTGATCCAGAACTGGCACCTCCATTTCAGTCTGGTGATGTTTTATTGTGGAAACTGCCCTGAGCGTCACAGGGTGTTTAGTGACATTCCTTGGCTCCTCCTGTCGGATGCCAGCGCAGGTTCCATTCTCTGGTGCCTGGCCACCAACATGTCCCCAGATGTTGTCAGATTTTAGGACAGACTGTGTGGTACACAGGTGGCTCTGGCCCAGACGGGTTCTGGAGGAGCCACCTAGGCCGAGACCCGCGTCTGCCACCGGATAGCCGCTCTGGGTGTGAGACCAAAGCCCAGGCTTCCGCTGCAGTCCGAGTGCTCCACAGCGCTCTGAGGGAAAGCGGCCACTGAGTCGCTGTCCCCTGTCTGCAGCGCTGGGGCAGACCTTAACCCCTGCCCAGGTCAAGGAGGTCAGAGAAGGCAGGCTAGAATTCAGGGCTGCGGCCACAGTGTTTGTGCGTGGACACCACTGCCCCGTCCACTTCAGTTCCTCCAGGTGCCCCCTGACCGGTGCTCCTGGTGGTGGGGTTGGCTGTGAGCTTCCCCGTGCTGTGTGTTCTCGGGGTGCCCCCTGACCGGTGCTCCTGGTGGTGGGGTTGGCTGTGAGCTTCCCCGTGCTGTGTGTTCTCGGGGTGCCCCCTGACCGGTGCTCCTGGTGGTGGGGTCGGTCGGCCGTGACCTTCCCTGCGCTGTGTGTTCTCGGGGTGCCCCCTGACCGGTGCTTTTATGCTGTTATCTCCCCCTAGTCCGCCACCATCCCTCTGTTCATGAGAAACAAAGACGTGGCGGCGGAAGCGGTGAGTACTGGCCCTCGAAGCGAGCTGCCTGTGCCTTGTGCCCAGCTGAGTGCCAGAGTTAACGCAGCGCTGTGTCCCTCCGCAGATCACGGGCAGCGGCAAAACGCTGGCTTTTCTCATCCCCCTCTTGGAAATTCTTCTGCGAAGGGAAGAGAAGTTGAAGAAGCATCAGGTGAGGGGGCGGGAAGCACTGGCAGGGGGTCGTGGCGGAGGGGGCAGGGCAGACAGCGCGTGCGCCGCACCGCACCCCTGTTTGCACGTGTATCCGCCTGCCCCTTACAGCCACTGCCTCACAGCAGTCACAGCCGGCCCTGCTGCCTTTCCCATCCGGTGAAACCCCGTCCTTCTCGTGGTGTGCAGAGTGCCAGGGTCTCACACGCGTGGCCTTGGCTGGTGTCTTTGCCAACCACAGTGGCCCCAGGACGGTGCCCTCATGCTGTCTGGTGTTGGTCACTGCCGGGTGTGCTGTGCAGAGGAAGTACCGCGTCGGGAGGAGTCGTGGGGGTTGAGCTGCAGGTGCACGTGTGGGTGTGTGCAGCGCCTTGTCGCGGATGGGAGCACGTGAGAGATGTTAGGTGCTCACCAGCGCAGTGGTGCCAGGCAGGCTAATCCAGTGTTCACGATGAAGGAGAAGGGGCAGGCGGACAGTGCGGGACCCGCTGCCTCCAGGACGTGCTGTGAGGGGGTGTGTCTGGGCTGCCCTTCTCGCTGACAGCTGCTCCCCCACGTGCCCAGGTGGGAGCCATCATCATCACCCCCACGCGGGAGCTGGCCATCCAGATCGATGAGGTCCTCTCGCACTTCACCAAGCACCTCCCGCAGTTCAGGTACCTCCTGTGGGGCCCCGGTTCTGTCCCCCGTGCCTGTGCTGCCCCCTCTTGGGGCCAGGGCTGTCCTGCCTCCCTTTGCTCAGAGAGCTTTCTGTGTTGCAGCCAGATCCTCTGGATCGGAGGCAGGAATCCTGGCGAGGACGTGGACAGGTTCAAGCAACAGGGGTGAGCACTGCCTGTCATTGCTCTGCGTGGAACCCACGCGGCGTGGACTCTGGTCTGGGCCTCACTGAGCCCCTGTCCGAAGAAGGCTTTCCAGGCTGGTGTCCTGCCTGCTC